TCGGTAATATTCAATCAGCTAATGTCTAACCCCGTTAGCTCCACTCCGCTCAGCTCCGCCATTTGCGGACCTGCCCTCATTGTAACTATATATATACTCAACTTGTACATAGGTTACACCTCAGTAATAAAATCGACTAGAGTTTACCCCCTTCAGTTCTGGTTGCCAGTTTAGTAAGTTAGGGCACGGACATGTTACTTGGCACAGCGCTCCTGGCATAAGTCGCTGAGGCCAAAGCCCTCTGCCACAGAGACACTCCCTCATCTCAACCTGGTCTCTGACACAACCCCTGGATTGGCCAATTCGGCCCAGGTCCAACAACACCCCAGCCAAATGCAGGCTGGGAATCAGCCATCGCATCAGCAGTAGCTGCTCAGACAGGTCAGCTCCACAAGGAGCTGAGTCCCTTGTAGGAGGGAGATGAGGGAGCGACAGCGGCTCCTTGTCCAGACCGTCCAAATGGGCACAGTCTGATAACTCGAGGGCGTCAGAAGACGCCTGCAACCATTGTGCCCACTGGAGGCACAAATACAACAGAGCACAAAGAGATGCTGAGGGCATCTTCGACTCTCTGAAAGACACAGAGAGAGAGGTCGATCTCCAAAAGAGGGAGATTGAATTACTAAACGCGAGCTCAGAGAGGCACATGCACTGGCAGACCTCGCTACCAAACCCATTATGATGGGGGCCTCCCAGGTCAGGGGGAGGGGATACGGTTCCAGGCCTCATGAGGTGCAACCCCACATGGGGACTAGTGCACCAAGGGGTGGGGCACCGACTATCCTGCCACCCCATGGGCAGGCAACCCTGTCCAGGTTGCATAAGGGCCTGCCCTCAGAAGGGCAAACCCATGTCAAGGGGAAGAGGGAGAGCGGTAGGCAACCAATGGCAGACCCTAAAACAGGGACCACTGCCAGAGGTGGCAGGCCGCTGAGTACCTCAGCACCCTATGGGCAAGCTACCCTGCAGGGAAGTGTCCACATGTTATATGAGACTGCTGAACTCAACGAGTTTGGCAAAGTCAAAGCTCCAGTCAATGTAACAATTGACCCCAACTTCCCCATGAGGAGAATAGCAGGGTCAGAAGCGGCGCACGATGCCGCATATGCTTGGTGGACAAGCGTGAGTGGGAAAGAATTCGTACACTGGTACAAACAGGCTGAAGCTGCCTTCAAAAGCGGCAAGGTACACAGAATCCTTCACAAAAAAGCAAAGGAAACTGAGAAATACTTCTTGGGACTCCCGAGTATTGCAAGACTCACAGAGGAGTATAATTCCCCAGAGAACAAGGAAAAAATCTCCTGGGAAAGTCTAGGCAAAGCCGCCTATATAAAATCCCAGTTCAAACCACTCAGGACTCCTGAGGAACATGCCGCAAGAACTGCAGAGTGGGAAGCGAAAGCTTCCAAATACTGGGAAAGAGATGCAAGTCTCCCACTGGACAACTGTCAGGGACGTGTCCGGGGTCGAGAGGGCCTGGGGGTAATGTCTGGCACTGAAGCCGTCATGGGGTGTGGAGCAGGCATGCATACTGGCGGGCCCGATCCGGGACAGTGGTCCCTGGCCACTCAGTCTGAAGTGGAGAATGTGAGAAGAAGGTTACTTCTTCGGTTCCCACTTCAGGTACATTTATGTACATGCGGCTTGAGTCACATGATGAGTGCCACGTCATCCTCGGAGGCAGCTGCAGGCATCTGGGTGTCCCCGTGGGGGATCCCGAGAGCATCCGCTGCATGCGTGCGTGCTGGGCACAGCGGGAAGCCGTCCAGGGTGTGTGGGCCAGACGGGTCAATAGTACATCGATACAAAGGAAGGTGGTCCATGTAGATAGAAAGAAATAAACAGGAAGAGGAAGATGAAAAGAAAGAAATAAAGAAAGGGGAAGGAGAGGGAGGAAGGAGTGGGGAGTGGGATAGACAGCAGGGAGCGGGTGTGGTGTGGCCGGGTGTGCCCTGACAACAACCAGGCCAACGACCACCCTTCCCCATGGGAAGAATGGTAGACCTACTGTACTCCACACCTGAGCCAAGTAGCTCAGGAACACAACAACCCGCTCCCACCCAGGGAGCGCCCACTTCGTCAAGCCCACAGCTCGACAATGCAGCCCAGGCTACGTCATTGCATCCAACGCAGCAATCGGATGTCCAGATGAACAACCCAGTGTTAGACACTGGTCCAGGGTTGGCACCGAGGGTCGCCATTGTGGGCTGCTATAGGCCACGATGGCCATGATGCCGCAAACAAGGCCTGAGGGTAGGGCATTTGGCCTCAGCAACTCTAAAGGAGCACTGTGCCCCCTAGCTGTCTCTTGGCCCTCATTTCAGACTTACTGGGGTTGCCTTGTTGGGGCCAGGACTTAGAGGGTCATGGTCAAATCGATATTAGAGCTAAGGTACAATAAAGTATCATACAGAATATATATAGGGAGAATGAATGAATGGAAGCGGACCCGGGCCGAAGGCCGAAGGGTCCGGAAGCAAAAGGGAACAAAGAGCGGGGTTGGCCGCACAGCAGCCAGCAATGACCAAGGGTCAAAACAAACCAGATAAATAAAGGAAGGAGCATATGGCGATGATAGTGGTGATGGTATCGTAGTGGCACTGGACTCGGAGTTGGGCCGGAGTCGGGCACAGGAATGGTAGCGGCCCTGTAGGGGTGTCAGGGGACGACTCCCGGGTCCCCATGACCCTCCCCTATGGTCCACAACCTGACCTAAGAACAGCCCTATCCAGGGCAACAACTACTGTGGGTAAGGAGATGAGATAAAACAAGGGCAAGTATATACACTTGCCTACTGTGGGTAAGGAGATGAGAAGGAAGCTAACTTCTCATCTTCCCACAGTGGCCACAATATCAGCAAAACTTCCGGGGATACCCGGAAGTCACATGAAGGGGTAGAAACCGGGTCCGGAGCATGCAGCGCGCGGAGCGTGCGTGCATGCGGGAAGCGCAGTGGGTGGAAGCGGGTCCGGACACGGGTCCGGGTCCGGGCTAGTCAGGGTGTGTGCCCTGACAAGGGGCCAAGTGGGCAGGGTAGAGGAGTCGTGCTGGGCACAGTGCCAGAGGCGGACTCAGGGTGGGGAGGTTGGTGTGGCAGCAGGGGAGTGAGCAGGGAGTCCTCAGGGAGGACAGGGCTGAGGTTGGGGCTCGTGCTCATGCTCACATAGTGGGAACAGGCTCAGGTGGCATCGGGACAGGCCGGGAATAGGCTGGAATGCACGGCCATGACACCCAGAGGAAAACCCTCCTCCGGGGCAATGACTCCACCCTTGAGGAAAGGGAAAGTGACACGGTAATATGCCATCGAGGTGCCTGTGAAAACACCTTCCCCCAACTCAAGGCCCCACACACAATACTGTATGCAAGGAACCACAAGTAACAATTGCGGAAATCTCTACTTCATCAAAAGACCCACATCCACCACCACTCATGTGTAAACACCACTTACACATGAACCCTCACGGAACAAGTGAGGAACACCAAAGACATACAACCTTTGGGTCGAAATTCATTTTCGACAAACTCCACTACTTTCCTCTCTGCGATACCCATGTATCATTGTTCACTTCAAAGTGATGGCCCACACTCACTTATTCCCTAAACCTTTTCTCTCTCCTTCACCGACATGTACAAAATCGCCCACTTTAAAGTGGCGACAACAAAACACTCATTGATAATTTCAAACTCACTTAAGACTTTATTTTCTTCACCATTAACCTTGTATGTGTCGCAAATGCAATGCAAGGGGGAGAATGTCAGGGCAATAGCCCTGAACCCCAAGCCACATGTAATTAGATACATATAGTCATGTGGGTAAGCAGGAACCTCCAGGTAACTGCTTACACACTACCGTAAAATACACACTCTTGTATCACTTATGGCTCTGTGTGCTGAGCTACCCTGAGATCTCACAGTACCTTACCTACTGTTTATCTATTCACTTTCTTGCCCACAGTAGATTGTGCCCTGGACAGGGCTGTTTACAGGTCAGGTTGTGGGTTGTAGTGAGAGGGGTCATGGGGACCCGGGGTCTGTCCCCTGACACATAGGAAACTGGTTACATAAGGTGATCCACCTCCACTCCTTCACCATGCACACAAAAAATTGCGAAAAACTCCATGGTATATAACCCACAAAGTTCAAAAAAGTGTAAGGGTTGCCAACCCTGGGTGAGTCTCAGTCCTCAGCTGTCAACAATATGAACTTGAATGGAGTTGTACATGCAACAGTGCTGGAAGGAAAAGGCTAAGGAAAGCCTTTCCAACATTCCCACACTATTGTATATACACTGTTTATACCCATTGATACAATAGGAAAAGGAAATATGTAGGAAAGGGAAATAAGGGGTGGGGTTACCACTCCTTACATGGAGGATATGACAAAAACTAACTAATCAGACAGTGTAAGCACTTTTAGTGGAAATGGCCAGAACCCAAGCAGTCCTGGCCCATGAATTGGCATGTGCAGGCACAATGCAACCCATAATGTACAACAGAACACATGAATACACAGTTCAGCAAGAAACAGGAAAACTGTAAAAATACAAGACTGAAAAGCTAGGAATATCAGGTTGGTGAAAGGGGAGGAGGTGGGTAGATGCAACAGAAGACAAGCCAACTATGACAAGCTGAACAGAAGTAGCACAGGCACTACAGTGAGAGTCCGCACGGAGTTTGTGCAAGGTGAGATGGACCTACTTGAAAGCACAGCACAACATGAAGCTAAGAAGGGAGTTTAGATGCAGACAACTTGTCCAAAGCGCACATGTAAGCTTCCAGCCCCTGTTGCAACCAACTGAGGACTTACCAGTCCTGATGGAGCAGACGCGAAGGCAGTGCTGAGGGAGCAGACAGAAGGAAACCTTCCTCCAGTGTCACATGCACGTCAAATCACGTGAGGATATGAAATGCGAAGAACTGACACCCACAGCAATGCAGGACCATGCGGCACCATTCAGCACCAATTACCGTCAAGATTAGCTGTGTGAAATAATGTTGTTCTTAAGCTGACCAGGTGGTGTGGTAGAAGTCGGCATGCTTGAACCTCGTCTTGATCTGGCCCAGGAGGTACCAGCCAGGTGTGCAGTACGTAACATGATTGCTAGTCGAGCCGCCCTTGTTGTGCCCAGAATGGAGTTGGCCAACCACACGAGCTTTACCGTTCATCGTGTGCCAGATGAGGGAGCCGGAGTCTCCTTTAGCGGAGAAGACTTTGGTAGTCTTGTCGCCTGAGTTGTAGATACCAAGCTCGACGGACTCGATGCCAACTTCGTTCAGAATAAATGAAACTAGGCCGGCGTAGCGTCCGACGGTGAGATCAGTACTGTTGCCGTCTTTGCCGACTATAAGGCAGCGCTGGCCTTCGCTGTCAAGCTCTGTAGGGTGGGCGAGGTCCTCCTGCGTGGTGCACCCCTCGATCCGGAGCTTCCTCTCGTTGGGAAACTTGAACGTGGTTGTTATAGAGATGGACTAGATTCTTATGGTCCGTGACTGCAAGTAGGTAGGTTGTCTCTGCCCTCCATTATATTTCTCTGTCAAACTCCATGCCAAGCTTTCCCACTGGGTTTTGGTGCTGGCTGGGGGAATTGTTAAGTTTCAAGGGACTTCCCTTGACCATTGAGACTTTGATATTAGATAGAAACCAGTCATATGACATGTAAAGGCAAATGCCGAGGATGTTGTTCATTATCAAATACATAACCCACAAACCTTGTACCGCGATTGTAACATCCTCACCATTGTGTCACCACTGTAAACTCAACCTGTAACCCTGGAACCATGTCCACCTCCCTATTCCTCCTCTCCATGACAAAACCGCAACGAGGTGGGCATTCCCACGCCCAACCTCCTGCTACCCACTCCCACCAGTCCACCGGGTGGTTGAGTGGTTACTCCCACCCAACCAGAAGTTCCCTATCAGGAACTGTAACCTATCCCACCTCCTCAGGAGAAGGATACAGTCCAGGCAGCTCCAGGATGCCTGGCCACGCACCCGCGGGTCCCACTTCCCACGGTCACCCACTACCGTGCACTGGTCCACCAGCCCGCTTTCCCCAACAACTCCCGCTACCGGTACGCTCCCATGAGCGCCAAGTCACCGATAGCCACCAACTGGGTGACTCCCTTTGGGAGTCCCAGTATCCCTCACTACCGGTACGCTCCATTGAGCGCCAAGTCACCGCTAGCCAAACACCCCCAGCACACCCGCTACCGGCACGCTCCCAGGAGCGCCAAGTCCCCGTTAGCAGACAGCCAGGTGGCTCCCTCAAGGAGCCCACATCATACTCGCTACCGGTACGCTCCCAGGAGCGCCAAGTTACCGTTGGCCGACACACATGTTGTACTTCTGTACACTCATCCTATTCCGCTCTCCCTCCGATGGCTACGCAGCCACCTCCATTAGTGAGCCAAACGGCTCAGGTTGGGTTCCCCGGAACCCATTCCTGTAACAGTGGTCGAACCACCACCGAGAGGATAGAACATGTTTGTAAGGACTTGAGGATCGTACTTGGATCCTGTGTTCGTTAGACGAGGTAAATAAGATGAGTCGAGACGCACCGAGATCAACAACGTTGCCCTCGAATTCGTCACTGACCTTCGCCTCAGCAGCTAAGAACGCAGCCCAGTCCGAGGTATATAGTGTGCCACCTCCGACGTCGACCAAGATGGCTGCAGCATATTGAACGTGCCCAATGTTGCGGTGGAGCTTGATGTTGGCCCAGAATTTCGTGACCTTGTCGTGGAAAGCCTCGAGATCGGCGATAGCTTCGGTCTCGTCTTCCAATTGGCGTTGCTTCGCCCTGACGGCTTTCGCGTCCTCCATGTCCTGCCTCTCCTTTGCCTGCAATGTAACAATATCTCGGGTCCAAAGGTCAGCGAGAATGACGCGATCAGCAATGGCCTTCATGATCTCATCCAGGCCATGCTGGAATCGACGCATTCCACACACTCGAACGTGGTCCATGGGTGCGCCGCCTCTGTGCTCATAATCAACAGTGGTGTTCTTGTGCAGGACATGGCAGTTACTGATTCCGTAAACCTTATTGCTGGGGTTGCCGTCCTTGTCTTTGTTTTCATGGAACCAAAGTGTAAGAGTACCCTGGGAATCCTCCATTTCTTTGGTCGAAAGGGGAACGCCGAGAAGAGCAGTAAGGAAGCGACGGACATAATGGGTGGCGTTGCTGCTGTCGACATGGCACATAAGGGGTGGACCCGCGAGCCTCTGCAGAACCGCCTCGCGCCATTCCACAACAACATTGTCGACTCCGTTTTTACGCAGAAGGGTAAGGATCTCTCGTGGGCGGTATCGGCGGAGGTAGACCCTGGAATAACGCCGATCCATATGACGACGGGACTGAGACTCCCCTTCGCCTCCTCTCCCAGCGGTGCATGGGTGAAGAAGCGGGCAGGATCGACGGACGACCAGTTGATCTTCCGAGCCTTGATCAGGTCACGAATCTGGGGGCTGACAGCGTCCCAGACACGATTGAGCGGGGTATCGAAGACCCCGCGGAGGGACTTGACGGGGAGAGAGGCGTGTCTGCCTACGGGCTTAGGGAAGGGCGTAGTGAGGAAGTCCAACCGGTAGACGAGGTCCGGGTGGTCACTGTCCCCAGTGATGCCGTTATAATATGACGTTTTCTCGTACACGTTGGGGTCGTGCATGGAGGCAGTGGTGGCATCGCTAGCGAAGGTGAGGGCGGAGAGATTGGATGCCATGGTCACGTCGCTTAGGGCAGGCACGCGAGGCGAGCTGTGGGCTTTGCGTTGCTGGCCCTGGAGGCCAACACATTGGAGAGCGAAGAGGGAGAGTTCTGGACAGAAGGTAGTAAGTGCATTATAGACACGGAAAGAAATTAAAGGACTCGCTTAGCAGCCCCGGGTGCTCTCTCATAGTATTGAACACTTGCGCGGCGAGTTCAGATACCCCTATAAGGAAGATGGTAAGTATGGCACAGATTGTGCAGTGAGTTGATAGGGAGAAGGACGAGTGCTCCCCTCTCGGGATGACGAAAGAATGCCCTTGACGTGCAAAAAGAGGGACCCGCCTTCACCTAGAAGACCGGCTTTCTTCAGTTCATCTTCCGTGAATGGCAAAGCTTCGAGAGGTCAGTGTGGAATAGACGAAGGGAAACGATAGGACTCACTTGGAGGAACCATAATGAAGTTGTAAACGCAGGTGTTGAGTAATTACAGCCTTACTTCCGAGCACCGCCAACTGCGTTGCACCTATGTCGGAAAAGTTGCAGATCCGCTGCATCACGTGACATGCGTTGCAATGCATCTCAATAAATTACAATGCTTTGGCTCACTGTTACAACAAGTGTACCAAACGTCATTACACATTGTATGACATCGCAAATGACCTCCATATTTGTGTAGCAACAAACAAAATACTCTATTCAAGTTTGAATGGATATTGTACACTGTTACCAAAATTGTGTGTGGGCAGAATATAGGAGGACAAGGGGTGTCATTTAACAGGAGGGCTAATGTGGAAGCTATAATACAGAGTAAGTAATGTAACTAGTAACTAAAACCAATCATACTGACCTCAGTCTCCGTAAATGAAGAACTGAGGGGAAAAGGAAAATAGCCCAAAACAATTACCTATATACAATGTAGTCACAGTATCAATACAACAGAAACAAAAAGTAAGATCATGTGAGTTTGGTTAGTGAGTCATGCATCATTGTAACTCCAACATCATTTTGGGAAATGCCAAACACAGGGTACAGGGGGGGTTCATGAGAGAGGGCAAAACCTATTTTCAGATGACATTTTAGATTAAGTTATGTACAGTGAGAAATCAGTGAAGAGCGTATGTTATGAGAAGGAATGTTGGAATACAAGTCACATGATTAGACTGAACTGGGAATATTCTACAGGTTACTAGGTGCCTGTGTAAGCCCTGGGCATATGTCACAACCTGGCATTCCCTGGAGTCAGACGACCTCCTCCCCGACCTTTTCCCATGCCCGAACACTCCCTGCATACTCTGCTCGCTGCCTGTTGCCGTCCAACCACTTCCCGCAACTTCTCCACAACCCCTCTACTAATTGTTGTTGAACGACCTAGCGGTGCAGAGCACCATGGCCTTTTGTCCCATGTTTCACCGCACCCTGTTATCTTGCGGTGAAGGTCACATTTGACCTTCACTGTCTTGAACATGTGCTTCTTGTTTGTTTTCCTTCTTCTTTTCTCTGCCCGCAATCTCCGTGAGATCTGGCGACTTATTCTCTATTCAGTTCCCTAGCACTTATATACAGCTTGTAACTATTGCTTGTACTGTAGTTCAAAATCAACTAGGACTTCTCCCTAAGCTTACATCTGTTCCCCATAAGACCTCTGCCTTCTGAAGTATTGGGACCGTGTTGAGAACGAGGCACAACGCTCCTCCCTGAGTCATTGAAGCCGAAATCCTGGCCCGCTCACCTAAGTAGCCTCGACCTCGAGATCAGTGAGGTTATTCCTTGCTAAAGCTCAGTTGCGGGTAGGACACCTGTATCACTAGTGGCCAACGTTCGGTCGCCTACAGCTACCATCGGCGAAGCTTCACACAGTTCTGACAGCATAGAAGAGCCTGGAATGTATAAATATGGGCACTGGAGTGTCATGTGTATTTAGTTATATTTCTTTCTATATTACATCTGAACTGCAAGTGAACTGCTGAAGTGGGTTGCCATATTTGTGTTAGTGTCAGGGCACACACCCTGACTAGCTCGGACCCGGACCTGCATCTGGACCCACATGTGTGCTCCACCCTGCATGCTCCGTGCACTGCATGCTCCAGGCCCCGGTTCCCATCTCTCATGTGACTTCCAGATATCTCTGGAAGTTTTTGCCATATTGTGGCCACTGTGAGAAAGTGAGAAGTTAACCTTCTTCTGTCAAAACTGCAATGATCTGGATGCAGATGGGGCTCAACTAGAGGGGTTCCAAGAGCTCTGGTAGTGAACCGGAGCTTCTCCAGGAAGCCTGGGTCTGCTGGGTGTTACAAGAGGCTCTAAGAAGGACGTGGCCTCAGCAACTTGGAGGGAGCACTGTGCCTCCATTACATCTCAGTTAGTCCTTCATATCAGATGTCTGGGGTATCTTGTAAGAGGGGAACACAAATCACTCATAGGGGAACTTTGGGGTAAGTTTTAGAACTGAGGTACAAGGAGTTCTAATCTACAGGTATATATAGAGGGAGGAGGAGAAGGACTTTAGCCAAAGTCCAAGTGATACCAAAAGGTACCAAAAGGTTCCAAACAATATTTTTAATGGGGAACCAAGGTGTCAGGTCAAGGAGGGCAGAGTAGAAGGCTGGAGAATAAATGGGAACGAGAAATGGGTAAGGGGAAGTTAGCTGACTGAATTGAAAGAAGACATCAGTTGTACTATAAGTGGAAGATGACTAATTAAGATGATGAGAGCAGGGTCACTGGAGGATACAGGTAGCTCTGAAGCCGGAGTTACATATCTGAGAAATGTTGGGTGACTCCACTAAATGAAATGGAAAGAGGAAGGGTTTAAAAGTATATAACAAGATGTTGGGGTCGGTTGGTTGGTCAGTCAGTCGGTCGGAGTGATCTGGAGGTTCCAAATGTTCCAACTCAGGACTGAGCTTCTGGGATGGAGGTGGCGGAGGAACGAATGTGCCAAAGTCCAGGCCAGAGCTGATACAGTTGGGATGGAGGACATTGGGAAGTAGGGAGGTATGGTGTAGGGGATGATGAGGTTGTTAGGAAGGTGTAGTGGGGTGGGAGAGTGTGGGGTTGGGATTCTGGGATATGACATCTTCTCACTCTCTTACCCACAGTAGTTCTGTGCCCTGGGATTGGGCTGTTACAGGTTAGACTGTGGACTGCAGAGAGGGGTCATGGGGACCCAGGGTTCATCCCCTGACAGTTAGATACAGGTCCAGGGTTGGCACTGAGGGTCATGTGGGTTTGCTGTTGCAGGCCACTATTGGCTGCATGTCAGTTCACAACAATAAAGGTGTTCCTGAGAAACCTAGTCGTTGTTAATGCTGGAGTGCCACCTTCAGCGGAGATAGGGGTTATATACATGGATACTGCTATCCACTAGAGCGCAGCTACAAATGAGATAAGAAACTGCTGATAGAATGACGACATGAAAAGATAGCTAATACATTCAGGTAATCGTAAGCAAGGTGTGGGAAAGGGGTGACATGTGGATGGAAGATAGGAAGCAGGAGCTAAGCGAGATTACCTGCATTCTTCAGATCTCTCTGGATTGTCTTATGGCAGCTCCCTTCCGGCATAGGGGGTCAGGGTAGCTGGTTAGGCCATGCCCTGACACTGCAATCTGTGAGCAAGCCCAAGGGTAGGGCCTTTGGCCTCAGCAACTCTAAAGGAGTGCTGTTCCCCCTAGTTGTCTCTTGGCCCTCATTTCAGATGACTTGAGTTGCTTGCTGGGGGGTCAGAGCTGAGGGAGTCATGATCTAGTTGATATTAGAGCTGAGGTACAATAATGTATCATACAGGATATATATAGGAAGACAAAATGAATAGAAGCAGACCCAGGCTGAAGGCCAAAGGGTCCAGAAGCAAAAGGGAACAAAGAGCAGGGTTGGCTGCACAGCGGCCAGCAATGACCAAGGGTCAAAACAAACAATAACAGATAAATATGTGAAGGAGTGTAGGGCCACGATAGCGGCGATGGTATTGTAGCAGCACCAGACTCGGAGTTGGGCACAGGAACAATAGCGGCCTGATGAGGGCCAAGCAGGCAGAGCAGGAGTCACACTGGGCACAGTGCTGGAGGCGGACTCAGGGTGGGGAGGCTGGTGTGGCTGGAGGGGAGTCGGCCAGGTGCAGGGGAGCCTAGGGGAAAGTGGGGGGGTGAGCAGGGGGTCCTCAAGGAGAATAGGGATGAGGGTTGGGGCTTGCACTCATGCTCGCACAGCGGGATGGGCTCAGGCGGAATTGGGACAGGTGGCTAACAGGCCGGAATGCATGGCCATGACAGGACAGCAGAAAAGGGTTGGCTGGTGGTGAATGTCTGATTGGTTAGGTAATTATCAATTGCATTGTAGTTACATTGTAGTTCATGTACTTTAAACTGAGTGCTTGTATGCAGCTAGTTCATCATTTCAATACACTTTACTGGGACATTTCCACATGTGTTCATTTGAGATGAAGTGCTTGAAGAAGTTTTGGAGTAATTTGGATGAATTGGGATTTCAATTCTTGCTCCATACCAAATTCCTAAATTTGGGAACTGGCATCTCCCAAAATGATGGATACTGCTGATTGAATTGAAAGGGGGGGGGTCTCACACATTGCCCTAATCCTAAAAAGGGACATGATGTTTAGGATTTCCATAACTGACCCCCCTTGTAGGAGGATTGGAGTGAGCCATTGTTGGAAATGTAAGTCACCAGAGATATCCAGGGGCATGTGGAGGATAATGTGGAGGATTTTACTAAGCACACAGCCTGCACAGGAGTTGCCTTATGTAGATTATTCATTATATGCATGGACATTATCCCCAAATCACTAGTTATATTCCTGCTTCTATCTTACATCTGTGCTATGAGTGAACTGCTGGGAACTGGGTTGCCTTATCTGTAATGCCATTTACAACAGCCATACCCATGCCAGATTAATTCTACAGTGTCAGCTGTGTGTTAAACGCCTCATTCGAATAAATATGTCACCATCAACAAGGTCATTGACAAAAAATGTGTCTGCTCCATTGCTGGACTCCAAGAATGTGGGGACCATCAACACTCCACGAATGACAGATTCCAATGAGATGATAGTGGATGAACTTTCTTCACTGAGTTTGAATCGTCTGAAGCCAACAGGTTTGTCTGAAAGTGGGCAGGAAGTGGGGTGGATAGGAGTGTAGTAGCGGATGAGGGCAAGTTGTACTGTACCAATGATACTTGAAGGTGTGATACGAAACATCAGGACCAGCTGGGCAAAAGCTGGGCCATTGACTGTGTCTACCATTACAGAATCATAGCGGGCTTGCCCATGGAAATTTGGATTGGTGCGGAGTAAATCATGATTGGTGTACCAGTGAACTTGTGACTCATATGCAACCTCAAGCAAGTGGTACTCAGTGATCTATGTGAGTGAATCAGTATGAGGCCATTGAAAAGGTTGGATCCTACATTCTCAGTTTTAGGAAGTATGGTTGCCAGCCCATAAACTGTTTTGAGGAAATTGAGTGTTTTATGCCGGAAATCCTTGAAAATGGAATGTTGGGTCATGGTTTGTTCATGCTCAACCATGCTGAGAGTGAGGCCATATGGATGCCTGTGTGGGCTGCGTAATTTGATGTGAATTACTTCATCATCCTGGTGTGTTGGAATGTGTGAGTCATCACTGGGCTCCCTGGGCATTATCTGCTGAGCATTATATTCTTCTGCATGCTCAATATTCCGCTTTATTAACTTCAAAACTGCTTTGTGTTGGTCCTTAAGCACAATCTGAATTTAAAATAGCATGAGTAGCCTGAGATACTGCTGAAGAGTTTTCATACCTGCTTGTCAACATTTTTTTTGTTACTTGACAAATACATCTGCCGGTATTCCCCATGATGCCTTTCACCTGGCTTGGTACTGACATGAATAAGGGCCCCTTTCTTGCACACATCATCAAATGCATGAGATGTTGCATGTGCTTTGGGGAACAGCCAAGATTTCTGCCCATTGGGTGCTAATGATTTAGTGTGTGCCTTTTTCATATTCCCAACTAGCTCTTTAGGGATAATAAAAGGCTGAAAAGATTGTGAGACATGATGACTATGTTTGAGCTGAGTTTATATGTACCTGTTTCATTGCATCTGAAAGTCGCTGCACAACTTTATGACCCCATTCAAGAGTTTCATCAGTATGGACTTCCAGAGAAATAAGGACCGAGAACTCTGCAAGAGCACGAATGAGTGTTGAGATAGGGTAAAATGCCTCATTTAAGTCATGGAGTCCATGAAGAACAACCTAGCATGAATTAGCAAGGCATAGTGTCAGAATAACATGCCCTCACCTTGAGAAGGTGACTATATTTTGTGCCATCTGAGAATGACATTGAAAGGCAATTTTTAAAGTGGGTCAACTCTGGCCACCGTGGAATCTCTGAGATGCTAAAATCCTTATTTTAGTGTTCTACAATTCTCCATCCATTTGACAAGCTTACTGCTGCTCAAATTTTGCCCAAATAAACTTGGGATATCCTTCAATAATCCCCTTGCATAATGGCCAAATATGGTCCCCCCAGAGTCCCAAATCATTGAAGTGAAGTTTGTCATAGGATACCATTGCATGTGGATCACTCCCAAGAGCCCAGAAGGCATTCTAAACTTTGATTATTAGAATAAAAAAATCCAAGGGAATTTTGAGTCATACCCAAACCCCAGCCAAGCCAGCACTGGAGAGGATTTCAGCTGCCTGCTTCTTTGTGTTGGCAGATTGTGCAGATTCAATTATTGAATGACTGTCTTCTGATGTCTGAACAGGCCATTTGACTGTCAAGGAGGATAGTTGGCTGGTGTGAACCTTGCATCGGGGACAAGGATAATTTGCATTTGGTCCCAATGTGCCTGTCAACATGGTCCTAGACAAGTGGAACATCCTCAATGTATTAGCTTCAATTGTCATTGTGGAGCATCACTCACTGCTCTTCTCCATCAGCAACAGCATCCTTGATATAGAAATAAATATGACGTTCCTTCCCATCACCACACTGGAGCCGAGTTCCAACCTTACTAGGTGTTCTAAGAGACTCAAACACCTCAGCAAAGCTGCTGTGGATCAAGTTCCTGCGATATGATGCAAGGTCAAATTTATCTTCTGCTCTTTCTTCAACCTGGAAGGATATAATTAGAGCCCAAAAAACCGAAAAAAAAAAAAAACATATGCCATACATGAGGAAGGAGTCCAATTAGGTGGCCACCTCCAAATCCAGTTGTGTTCCTGATGTTGTTGTGGATGTTGAGGACACGCAGGATGACTGGATACACCTTCACTGTTCCAAAGCTGGACAGCTGAGACTTGTCAGAGTACACTGAGAGTGCCAGTAGCACGGAAGGTGTCCCATCATCCTGTTCTGGGAGATCATTCTACCAAAGTATTGTTATTGAGAGGCATAACTGTTAAGAATAAAATGCATACCATGATGTCCCAGAATTCATCTGCAGTCCAGGGCTGACTTACAAAGCGCATCCAGCCTCCACTTGTTGACTTGTATGTCTTTTGGGGGGCCCATTCAACTTCATGGATGTATAGTGGATCACAGAGGAGGTCAGTCAGATACTGATGCACATTTTTGCAAAAGAGGATATGAGAACGCCTTTCAGAGGTCTTATCTGATGGAACAACTGGGACCACCACAGTATGCTCCTCAAACTAGTGCCACATGAGCTGCTAGCAATATAAAATTGGAAATGGGCCCACATTTGTAAGAAGCTCTGCAGCTTTGTTGAGTGTTTTTTCAAATCCTTTATAAGTGGTAAAGGTAATGGCTGGTTGGGGAGATTGCTGATGAATTTTAATATGTGTCCCTATTGAGTGAATTGAGCAGTTATCTTCAGTGACCAGTTCTGCAAACTCAAAGTCTGCCTTGGTTGCAAAGGGTGCCCAAGGACTTTCAAATAGGTTGATATTTGAAATAGTCTTGGCATCAGAGTTTGATGTTCCCATGGTAAATGGAACTATCTTTGTTGCAATGCCAGACTTAGGGTGAAATTCAATCTTGAGTAATTCTGAAGTAGCCTCTGCTTGTGTTTGGACCTCTGCTCATGAACTCTGGTGAGGGTACAGTGGTGGAAATGACAAGGCACTGCATACCTGGCACTACATCTTCTGGTGGGTCCAAGGGTTCCAAAGATGACATGTCTTCAGCAATGTTTGACCCTCCTGCTTTTGGTGGTTCTGTGAAATTCATAGGGGAGCAAAACATGAAAACATTAGCGATCTCGCTGAGCTGACACACCTGGGATACCAGCCAGACTTGTTTCAGATGTCCTGGCTTGTCCTTGAAATAATTGATTTCGTGCATTTGCCATCTTCTTCTCCAAGTGTTGTTTTACCATTTTTTCCTCACAATGTGTCACATGACACTTCCACCCTCGAGCTTCAAAGGTTCTGTTGGTCACTGAACAGTAGAAGTTGGTGTGGTCATGGATGGATGATGACATGTTGACAGATGAGGTGCTAGGGGATGTATGTTCTTTGTACTGTTGTTATCCCAGTGTCCAAGTTGATTCTGAGGGTAAGGAGCTGAACCTCTTGTTACATGCCCTTTTATATGCATGATAGTCTATTTGATTTGAACCCTACCTGGCATCAAATCAGATCCCCTCCCAACATCAATCAAATTCCTTCCCTGGCATCAGATCAGATTCCCGGCATCAGATCAGATTCCCAGCATCAGATCAGATTCCCAGCATCAGATCAGATTCCTGGCATCAGATCGGATTCCTGGCATCAGACCAGATTCCCTCCCAACATCAGATCAAATTCCTTCCCTGTGTCAGAACCGTGCAAAGTCTCGCCCATGATAGCTGTCGGCAACTGAACATTGGCCGCTGAGGATATAGGCATCCTACTCACGACCAAGCTTTAGCAAGGGTTAACCTCACCGATCTTGAGGCTGAGGGTGCTTAGGCAAGCAGGCTGGGATTTTGGCTTCAACAACTCAGGGAGGAGCGTTGCACCTCGTTCTTGATGCAGTCCCAATACTTCAGAAGGCAGAGGTCTTATGGGGAACAGAGGTAAGCTAGGGAGGGGAATTCTAGTTGATTTCGAACTACTGTACAAGCAATAGTTACAAGCTGTATATAAGTGCTAGAGAACTGAATAGAAAGTAAGTTGCCAGATCTCATGGTGATTGCAGGCAGAAGAAGGAAAACAAACAAAGAAGCACGTGGTTAAGACAGTGAAGGTCAACATGGCCTTCACCATGAGATAATGAGGTGTGGCGAAACATGGAACAAGAGGTTGCAGCGCTCTGCACCGCTGAGTCATTCAACAACAATTAGAGGAGGGGACATTGAGATGTAGCAGGAAGTGGTTAGACAGTGATGGGTGGTGAGCGGAGTGTGTGGGGAGTGTTCAGGTGTGGGAAAAGGTCAGGGAGGAGATTGACTGACTCTGGGGAACGCCAGGTTGTGACACCCTGGCATCAGATCAGATTCCTTTCTTAGGCCTGAACCCATGGAGGCCCAGAATTAGTGAGATAGGAGATCTGTGAATTAAAGAAAAGAGGAAGGCAAGAAGCATGCAAAGTGTCAAAACCGTGACAATCCTGGTGCAGACAGGGCTCAACTAGAGGGATTCCGAGAGCTCCAGTAGTGAACCGAAGCTTCTCCAGGAAGCCTGAGTCTGCTGGGTGTTACAAGAGGCTCTAAGAAAGATGCAGCCTCAGTGACTCAGAGAGGAGCGCTGTGCCTCCATTATGTCTTAGTTAGTCCTTAATTTCAGATGTCTGAGGTATCTTATAAGAGGGGGACATGAATCACTCATAGGGGAACTTGGGGGTAAGTTTTAGTCAAGATTAGAACTGGGGTACAACGAGTCCTAATCTACAGGTATATATACAAGGCAGAGAAGGACTTTAGTCAAGGTCCAAGTGATACTGAAAAGTACCGAAAGGTTCCAAATGATATCTTTAACAGGGAACTGAGGTGTTGGGTCAAGGAGGGCAGAGTAGAAGGCCAGAGGATAAATGGGAATGAGAAATGGGTAAGGGGAAGTTAGCCGACTGAATGGAAAGAAGACATAGTTGTACTATAAGTGGAGGATGACTAATTAAGATGATGAGAGCAGGGTCACCAGAGGATACAGGTAGCTCCGAAGCTGGAGTTACATATCCAAGGAATGTTGGGTGACTCCACTAAATGAAATGGGGAAAGGAAGTATATAACAAGATGTTGGGGGTCCATTGGGAGGTCAGAGCAATCTGGGGATTCTGAAGGTTCCGGCTTGGGACTGAGCTTCTGGGATGGAGGTGGCTAAGGGTGAATGTGCCGAAGTCCAGGCCGGAGCTGGGGCAGTTGGGATGGAAGGTGACATTGGGAAGTCAGGAGGAATGGTGTAGGGGATGATGAGGTTGTTAGGAAGGTGCAGTGGGGTGGGAGAGTGTGGGGTTGGGATTCCAGGATATGACACAAAGGTCAAGGAAGACAGCGTTAATAATGACTAGGATTCTCAGGAACGTCCTTATCTCTGCGAACTGACACACAGTCTCCAACAAGCCTCAAGCATATGACCTTGGAAGTGATCATGAATGCTGGGATGAATAAACGGTGTCCAGATGATCCATGGGAGGCTGGGAAATGTGCCTTGAGGAGTCATAACAGGAGTGGAATCATGGGAAATTCAGAGGTGTCAAGTCAGGTGGTGGACAACCAGTGGTTCTGTCATATCTGTACATACCCGATCCCAATCCGACTCCTGGACCCCCATCTTCACCACCTCCAGAGTCCTACCCTACTGCCATCCATTCCAATGTTCACCTTCGAACCTAACACCACTCCTCCTTTTACCCCTCATGCCACCTCCACCCTTCCGTCCTTCTCCTACCCTATCTCCATCCACTCCAATACTCACCTCGGACCGAACATCACTCCTCTTGCCACCCTCCTCCTCTTACTCCTCCTCTTACTCCTCATGACACCTCCACCCTTCCGTCACTCTCCTACCCTTCTCCTGTCCGCTCCGATACTCACCTCAGACCGAACATCACTTCTCTCACCACCCTCCTCCTCTTACTCCTCATGACACCTCCACCCTTCCATCACTCTCCTACCCTTCTCCCATCTGCTCCGATACTCACCTTTGGACCTGACACCTTTCCTCTCCTCCACTCCTCTCCCCATTCCACTCTTCTCTCTCCTTCCTCTGACCCTCTCCTGCCAACCCTCTGCCAAGTTATGACCTTCTGCCGCTGTCCCTTACCCTGTACTTGGACACCACTCGTACCTTCGCTCCAAGATTCTGTCATAGTTCCGACCTCGGACTTTCAACCCCACCTCCGTAACCTCCGTAACCTCCGTAACCTCCGAGCTCCACAGATCATATTCAGCACTTTCACCATATGTAATGTATCTTTCGTGTTTTCCCCTCATCCTTATTTGGACTGCTGCTTCTCCCCATTCTAGCCAGTTAGTCATCATCCCCACTTCACCTCACCCTCCTGCCCCTCTGGGCTTTGCCCTCCCTATCTCCTTTCAGATGTACCACAGGTTCTGACCTATGACCTTCAGTACCGCTCTGCTTCCACCACCCCTTTGTTCCCATTTGGATGCCTTCGTTCCGATTCGGACCCCCTTTGTTTCCCTTGTGCTTTCATCTCCCTATTATATACAGGCGCTTGTACATACTCTTTTTGGACCTTCAGTCTAAAATCAACCTGAAATGCCCCCTAGAGACTTCCTGCTTGCCGCCTCTGAAATTAAGGACCAAATGGACAAACAGCAATGGCACAGCGCTCCACATGAGTCGCTGAGGCCAAGGTCCCTCCTTGCTAAGTCTCCGGTTCCCCTCCGGAATCGTCTGCCCTCGCCCAGTTCTAACAGGTTCCAGAAATTCTGGAGTGGTGACACTAGGAGAGGTCCAGAGACTGATCTGTAGCATCCAAAGGAACAAGATGTGAAGATTTGCAGTGAATCATACACACATCTTACATTGACACCCCAAGCCCTGAGGCCTCTGGCACATATTAACAGGCAGACACAGTTGTTACATTTGGATATAGATGTTACACATGGACACTTCCATTACATGCAGACAAGAGATTTGAGTTGTGCATTGACAGTACCTACTCATCACCAGGTGCAGCACTGTTGCCTCCATGTCTTCCACGACCTCTGCAATTCCTGTTGCCCTTGGCTCCACCTCTTTGGCCTCTCCTTCCACGACTAACTTCATGAGAACTGTCACTGCTGGGACCATCATCTCTGTGGGCCTGGCCCCTGCGCTCATGCCTTGTCCTCCCTCCCTCATCCAAGCTGACTAGGGTGGTTGCCACTTCAGTCTCTACATCTGGTTCTGGTCCTTGTGCAAAATTGTCAGTACAAAAATATTAGTAAAAGTTGGCTGAACACACGAGGCACTTCAGAGGAAACATCTGGATCTGCTTCCTATAGCAAATTTTTAGTGTGAAATTCCACCTGTATAAATTCTTGCAAAGAAATCTGATGGAAAACTCACATTAAGATCCATTTCTTCAAGAAGAGCACTCAGGCCCAAAGAAAGATGTCCAACTTGTCCTGATGTGTGTTCACCCCCTGCCCCTGCAGGAGCACCAAACAACAAATGCTGGTACCAATTCATGGTCTCATGCATTGGTTGGACATTGGCAGTTTTCTCTCGTTGAAGCACCGTAAAGATAAAACCATATAGGTTAAGAAGGATATTGACATAGTTAGTGGCACTGGGCTTGCCAGAACCAGAGGCCATCTCAGTGTCCCCAGATAAAATGAAATAGACCTATTTGATATAATTGGTCAGCATGAGATCATCAAGTGGAATTTCAACTATGGCATACCAGCATTGAAACAATAGCCAAAGTACCAGGCGTGATTTCAGTTACCTCATATGTGATGCCTAGTGCCTTTTGTGATGCACATCCTTTGGCAGGCTCCCAATCCTCTAGCTCAGGAGATCCTGGAAGGGGGATGGAAGAAACAGGGACAATGAGTGCAGAAGGACCAAACACAAGGACAATTATTGCCTTGTTGTAGCACTGTGAGTGGAATATTAAGTACCTGCAAGTCAAATACTCACAGCTGCAACAATTTGTGAGCGAAACACATGCTGACGATGGGATCGGTCATTGTCTGGGAATAAGAACAAGGGCAAGTGGTCGATTGGGTTGGCAGAATCAGGGTTTACTCCTAGATATTCCTGAAGTTGTTCTGGAGTTGGGCCATGGCCTGACTTTAGCACTGGTACACTAAGGTCCATGCCAAAGAGTTGGAGACTTGATTGACGCAACCGATTCATCACCCGTCGCCTTCGTGCTCCAACAGTCGAAACAAACTAGTTATGCCTAATTAGTGAAAGCTGCAAGGATAATTTCTGAGACATGAGTGCATGCCTTTGCAGACCAAGGCATAGCCCCAGATTGGTCACTGAGCTCCTTAGTTAATATAGGATATTTCATTTCAAAGACTTTGTGAACACAGAATTGATTGAAATTTCCAACAGACGAAAACACTGTTGCTGGTGCCCATGAATGGAAATCACTGTCTAGTTCCGCCATAAGGGAACCCTTCGTCAAAAAGGGAGAATACAAAATAGCATAGAGAGCTGCATATTTTGTGATTGCTGCCTCGATACTTTTGATGGTGGATGCATCACCAGGAGTAGGATCTTCACTATCACTGCCATTATTGGCATCTCCAACAAGTTGATTATCATCCACTTCATCAGTATTGATGGGCAGATCAGTAGGTGATGGTTGCACAGGTGTAGAGCTAGATGGCACCTGGAAGCCACGGGATCGGAAGGTAGTAGAACTAGGTGAGGCAGACATAACAGTTGTGCGCAGTGGGAGTATCAGACAAATTGTGCACACATCTCATGAGTTGTGGCGTTGTTTTATAGATAGACAAATAGCTGAAATTGAATTTACATTACTATTGTAGGCTTAAATGGCTCACGGTCATAGGGAATGACACCGGACAATGAGGGATAATGGCTCAATCTCAAATTTATGATAACAGTGCAATACAGTTGAGGAGGCCGGAAGGGGATGTCAATGTGCATGCCTATTGGCATATGGCGGAGCACGCAATGGGTTAGGGAAATACAAGGGTGTACATACATTGATACAATAATAAAATCCCTATCATGAATGTACCTGGTCCGAGAGCCTCTTAGAGCCAAAACCAGCTGACCACATTGGGCGCTGGGGCCAGCCCCTAGACCACGTCAAGGTGGGCTCTTATCCTAGGGGAGGAGGCTGGAGGTGGTTCGCAGTTGTAAAGTGGGCGCAAGAAATGTTGTGACAATGATTTGAAGGTTTGTTGCCGATCGGATTGATTGTGATGATCAATCGATATCGTTGAGGAGACTGAAGGTGGTTCACGGCGGTGGGGTAGGCATGAGCAATATTGTAACAACGGTTCAAAGTTACCATTGGTTGAATGATACAGTTGAATGGGCCAATGGCGGGTGGGCATGCGCAATGTTGCAACAATGGTATAAAGATACCGAAAACGATACAGTTGAAGAGGTGGAGGTTCATGGCCACTGTGGGCACACGAGCGATGTTGCAATAAGGGGTCGAAGGTGCTGTTGCCGATCGGGTTGATTGTAACGGTCGAATGATACAGTTGAAGAGGTGGAGGTTCATGGCCACCGCGGGCACACGAGTGATGTTGCGATAAGGGGTCGAAGGTGCTGTTGCCAATCGGGTCGATTGTAACGGTCGAATGATACAGTTGAAGAGGCGGAGGTTCACGGCCATAGCGGGTGATGTTGCGACAAAGGGAGTGACAAGATCGATGGTGGGGATGCTATCGCATTCAATGTCGGTCAGTATGAATGATCATGGACAACACCTCTTATATGATGCTCAACGTCTCTCTATGTGAATTGCCACTCTCTCATCGTCACGCGCGCAAGCAAGTGGGCAGTTGAAGGGTAGCGCCAAAGACAGAACAGCACAGATAATGTGGGAACCGAAGAAAAGGCAAAGCACGAAGAAAATACGTAGTCGAAATAAACTATGTTCCACAGTGGTTGAATGAGCCCGGGGTTCCTGTACAAGGCCTCAAAGAGATCGGGCTGTGAGTGGACATACGAAAATCACTATATCAACCACATCCGACTCTATTAACCATATATAGGGAGCCTAGTATGGGTCCTATATCAGTAAGGGCTCGCTGGTCGAGCAGTAAGTGTATAATGTATAATAGTGTGTAATTGCTATATTAGTACTGTTGTGTATTGTATAGACTCTGTTAAGTTAGGGGTAAGGTGTTCGGATCCTGTGTGGGACATCTGGTGAGCCACTTTTTTGTCCCAATGTTGCCCCCCTGTTGCAATGTATTGAGGCGGAATGGGTCACGTTGTAATTCATTTAAACCAATAGGCCGCGTTTCAAGCCGATGGGGTCATGTTGTAATGTATTTAAACCCGATAGGCTGCATTGTCATGTGTTTCAAGCCTATAGGTCACGTTGCAATGTATTGAATCCCGGCCTCTGCCGTTGCAACGCCAAGACATCGATACAATGGTTGCATCGCCACATATCCGTTATGGCCATTGCATCACATTGTAATGTATTGAAGCGGATTTAGATTTTTTCCGACATACTACTCGTGACCCAGTCAATATAAAATGGTATCATGGGGTTACCATCCAACCTACCTTCTTAGATAGTATTCAAGCGTTTGAGTGCATGCACCCATGCACTGGTGCACTGAGAGAAAAATATGTTGGGAAAGTGGTTTACAGAGGGGCCTGAGAAGCTCTGGGGTGCCCGTGATCGGTTTTTTCAATTACAATACAATGCGCAAGCACTTCAGCGCCAAATGTATTGCCGGCATCGTCTCTCGATCTGTCGTCATTGCCGCTGCCGTCGTCGACAACGTCAAAGTCAATCTTCACAAATTTCGCATATTTTTTTCTTTGTTCTTTTTCCCGCTTGCATTCCCTTGCTGGCAAGATAATTTATTATATTAGCCTTAGCATTAGTGTTTGTCATTGTTATTGTTCAATGTAACAACAGCGTGCAAGGTGCAAAGCGGTTAGAAAAAGCAACAGACTGTACAAGCGAGCACTAAAGAGGACACAGTGAGAAAAGATGGGTGAATGACAGAGAGAGGTACAAGTAAACTAGCAAAAAGGGAAGACACTATGTAATAGTGGCGTACAATCAGCCTCACAACAGTGAATCAAGGAGGTGTGAAATAAGTGTTTATGCGCAAAGTTGAAGGCAAAAGCATGCAGGGTGCAAATAAAAGAGCATAATAATTCTGGCCACACCACCTTATGGCTATATGCCCAAGCAATGTTAAGCGCCATCAGTCACCCAGAAATCCCAGCACCTTCCCTGGCAGGACAACATAGGAAAGTGAAATAAAATCCCGTAGATAAGCAGCTGTCCAGTATCCCACAGATTTTGAGCCACACCTGTGAAGTTCATTGCTGCATGGTGTTAGCCGCCCAGCGCTCATCTTGAGTCAAGCACGATTGTGGACAACCATGGTCGTGATCTGAGTCAGAACGTTGTTTGCATGTTATGGCCAACCATCTTTGCCAATTACAAACCCAGATGATGTTGAAGTGGCATTCCGATGCCCTTTGTCGCCACGGTTATTGTTCCCTTTTATGGGAAGTTTTATTGCTTTAACGCTTTGGCCTTTGTTCCTTTGTGCCACACAGAAATGTATATAAGTGTGCTCCATCATGTACTTTATCTAGTATAACATCTAATGACACTGTGATATCGTGCTCAGAGGATCGGGCTGCAATGCCACGATCATAACAGATGAGAGGTTAGTAGAGCCTGGGGAATATTCATGACAGACCGTGCCAGAATTAAGAGTGCATGCACGCCAACTGAATAGTACACTATACTACTTTGTATATCACTCAATATGTTTCTGCCCTGTCCAACCCACCCTCTCCCTCTGTGGTATGTTTGTGTATCTCAAAGCTGGCATTTGGATCAAGCAAACAGTTTTCATCCTGACCATTCTGTTGTTAGAAGTTCAATAATGACTGATGGTGCTTAATATGGCTTCGGCCACTGTGGACATAAGGTGGTGTGGCCTGGACTATCGCTTTTTTTCTTTTACTCTATTTCCATTCCTTGGGAGCTTTAGGGCCCATAGAATACGGTCTTTCATTGATCCAACACCCCCTCAGTTCACTCTTGCCAAACTTGGGGCGGAGCGTTATTAAGACTCTTACTAACAAATCTTCTATGGTTGTAGGCACTTTATCTCACATCCTATCCAACATTATCATTATCCTGTTATGCCAATGGGGATAGGACTATCGGCACACCATTGGAAGGATTGTGAATGCATTGGAAAGTATGGATTTGGAATCAATGTAATAATTACCGTGGTAGGGTTAATACATGGGTAGTAACAATGCAAGCAGGAAAAAGAACAAAGAAAAAAATTGTTGGAGGAACCGTGTGCTATGGCCCACATCCGGGTGAGGAACTCACCCGGACAGCCACATTCCCGCGGTAGCGTGACTACTTAGTCACAACACCTTTTCTCTTTTATATTATTTCGGACTAATCCATGCCAGGCCACGGACATATTCATTCATTTGAATTCATTTCCTTTTCCCTCAGTTCTTCAAGCATATTGGCTGAGACTGAGGTTAGTTAGTTACATTCCCTCATTGCTTTATCATTGTAACTTATATTATGTATATTACCTCTAGTCATTACTCATAGGTAATATATCTAGTTCTTCACGCATATTGGCTGAGACTGAGTCATTACTCATAGTCCAGCTCCGGGATCACAAGTGTCGCTCATCAACAAAAATATGCGAAATTTGTGAAGATTGACTTTGATGTCGTCGACAATGGCAGCAGCAATGACGACGGATCGGGAGACGATGCGGGCAATACATTTGGCGCTGAAGTGCTTGCGCATTGTATTGTAATTGAAAAAACCGATCACGGGCACCCCAGAGCTTCTCGGGCCCCTCCGTAAACCACTTTCCCAACATATTTTTCTCTCAGTGCACCAGTGCATGGGTGCATGCACTCAAATGCTTGAATACTATCTAAGAAGGTAGGTTGGATGGTAACCCCATGATACCATTTTATATTGACTGGGTCATGAGTAGTAGGTGCTGCGTTGCTCTCCAAACTGAATTGCAACGTGACATGTACAGTTGCCCAGGTTGACTTTGCATCCGATTCAAGTGCGTACACTAAAACCGTGATGCAATGGTCATGTGAGAGCCCAAATGGGAATTCATTTCGAAACCACTACATAGTACATACATGTGACTACAGTCAACCCCCTGACACCTGCGACCAACACACCTTGGACAACCACTATGTGGGCCTTTATAGGGGGGACCTCAGGATGTTTGCATGGGGCCTAAAAGGCCTTTTTCACTATAAACGTCCTAGGACATCCTGGCCATTCAGTTTCATTCATTTGTTGCAAACGTCCTCAGATGTCCTAATTCAGTTTGATTCAATTGTCCCAGAATGCCATACTTGTCCATCCCATGGTCTGTGCACATGCTGACCACTGTCTAGAGGGATGTCAACACTGTTTCCCACGGTCTGAACACACTTTACATAGTTGAATAGCCCCTTTGAATAGCTTCCAGAATATATATTTTGAGACTGAATTGACCAATAAATTATTGAGAAAAACGCAAAATACTTTTTTGGACACGAGTCTTTTGATGGTGGCTGTCCAACTTATTTAATGTCTGTGCACAATGCTGGTCACTGTCTGAAGGGGTGTCAGCACTGTTTCCCACGGCCCCAACACACTTGACACAGATAGATAGCCCCTTTGAATAGCTTCCAGAATATATATTTTGAGACTGAATTGACCAATAAATTATCGAGAAAAACACAAAATACTTTTTTGGACGCGAGTCTTTGGGTTAGTGTGGCTGTCCAACTCAATGTCTGTGCACAATGCTGGCCACTGTCTGAAGGGGTGTCAACACTGTTTCCCACGTCCCCAACACACTTTACGCAGATGGATAGCCCCTTTGAATAGCTTCCAGAATATATATTTTGAGACTGAATTGACCAATAAATCATCGAGAAAAATGCAAAATACTTTTTTGGACGCGAGTCTTTTGGGTTAGTGTGGCTGTCCACCTCATGTCTGTGCACAGTGCTGGTCATTGTCCGGAGGGGTGTCCAGACTGTTTCCCACGGTGTCAACACACTTTGCGTAGTTGGATAGCCCCTTCAAATAGCTTCCAGAATATATAATTTGAGACTAAATTGACAAGCAAGTTATTGAGAAAAATGCAAAATACTTTTTTGAATGCGAGTCTTTGGAATAGTGCTTGGGCCACTAAATTTCACTGACAGTCATCGAAGTCATCGAAATTCCCGGGTCACTGATATCCCAAAGACTCGTGTCCAAAAAAGTATTTTGCATTTTTCTCAATAACTTGCTTGTCAATTTAGTCTCAAATTATATATTCTGGAAGCTATTTGAAGGGGCTATCCAACTACGCAAAGTGTGTTGACACCGTGGGAAACAGTCTGGACACCCCTCCGGACAATGACCAGCACTGTGCACAGACATGAGGTGGACAGCCACACTAACCCAAAAGACTCGCGTCCAAAAAAGTATTTTGCATTTTTCTCGATGATTTATTGGTCAATTCAGTCTCAAAATATATATTCTGGAAGCTATTCAAAGGGGCTATCCATCTGCGTAAAGTGTGTTGGGGACGTGGGAAACAGTGTTGACACCCCTTCAGACAGTGGCCAGCATTGTGCACAGACAGTTGAGCAGCTGAGGATTGTCATGGGAAATCAGATTCAATTGCGGCATTATGTTTTGAATGTCTACCCTGAATAATACAAATTTGATTGAATCACAGAAGCATTTGATTGAATTTGATTGAATTATAGAATCATCCCAGGACATCCTAGGACATCCTAGGACGTCCTGGGGATGTCCTGGTGAATGGATCAGTCTTCACCAGGACGTCCAGGACATCCACTAGTAAATACCCCCTTTTAGGCCCATTTGAAGGCCAAACGGCCCCCCCTCTATAGGCCGTCATTAGATGGCTGACTAGGCTGGACCAACAAAGCGGTCTAAGTCCTACATCCTTCAGCCGCCTAGTACAGCTTCGCACCGGCCATGCGTTCATCGGACAATTCTACAAACGCTTCCTACCAGAAGAGAGCCCCAGTTGCACATGCGGAGAACCCGTAGAAACGAGAGAACACATACTTCTCGAATGTACCAAGCACGAACACCACCGAAACTTGCTCGCAGACGATGAAGGTAAACTGATTCTTGCCGACCTCCTGGTGGACGAGAAAGGAATAGAGAGGGTCGCGGGATTTCTGTCAGCGAGTGGAGCATACGAGAAAGAGAGAAGGACAGAATAGACACACCCCGAGATATGACACCGCCGGAAGGCGGAACCCATCCCATTTTCGAAACCGACACCTAAAAACGGTCAACCCAACACGACAACTCAAAAGTGGAGCAGCATTTGGGCAACGCCTTATCAGAGAGATTAAGGACACCCGAATCGGCTTGTTTCCTTATTTTCTCACCTTATTTTTGTGTATTTATCTCGACCCCTGCCCTTGGCGCTCTCACGAGCAGCCTACAGTTTGCAGGTTAAATATCAACAACAACAACCCCCTGACACCCGAATACACCAACCAAAATACCACCATGTAGAGATATTCTCCCCGTGTACGCTCCGGTGTTAGGACGGGATAGCCGCCATCACGAGGCTTCGAGGCATTAAGGTAGATTTATTATCATCATCATCCCGACGCAACACCAAAGGAAGAAAACGATTAAGGGAAAATAACCCACAACAACTTTTAAGTCTTGCTTTAGCTGTTAAGAATAAAAGTGACATCCAAGCCTCTTGCCCGACTCATCGCTTCTCACTGATGCCCCTCAATTTTTCATTTAGTCTACACCGTCTATCAAAATGAGTCCCAATGTTTCTCACTTTAATTGGTGATTTCCTGCAATTCTTTTTTTTTGGTTTGTATGGTACCGCATTGTAGTGCTCGCATTTTTAGTTTTCAGTTGTGCTTGTCAGGTTCACAACCAGCCGAAGGCAGTGGTTTAGATACATGATGATGTTCACATACTGTGCATCCTGTGTAGGCCATTTGTTTTGTGAAAGGATCTCGCGGTTACATGTTCATCTCTAAAAGGGGGGGGGGAGGTTGAAAAAGCGTGAAGGAGGGGAAGAGTGTAATATTAAAAGTAGACGATGCCCCGTCAATAACCACTAGGTAGCTTCCATCAGAACTTCCCCCATGGGGTCCCCGTAGCGACCCATTTTGCAGAAATCATAAGAATGAGAGACATCATCAGGATAGAACCTACAGAATCCTGATTAGCAAAACTTCCTCCTAGCCTTTTTTGAAGGAGAAGGGGGGGAGGGGAGATCTCACCCGCATACGCTCCAACTGCTTTATAACCTCCCGTAGCATCATGAATAGCACCAGATATGGGCGGACCACATAAAGCTCCAATTCCACTCAAAGTGAATAGCATCCCCGTTCTCCGGCCCATATCCCCTTGAACACCAAATTTAGGATGTGTCAGCGGAGTAGCGACAACCCCGATGAAAGCACCCGAGGCAACCCTGTGCAGTACATAAGGGAGGAAAAAATTTTAGGAAGGGGGGAGGGGGGGAAGCAAATTCCTTATGATGAGAATCCCCATATCATCACTGGAAAAAAAGCACATGACGGGCTCACCCATAAAAAACTGATACAGTAATCAACGACCCCACACTCAACGCATAAGGCCAAACATATGTCATCACAGCTGCCAACACCATGAAGAACCCCAAGACGTTGATAGGCCCATACCTCCCCGACAAAGCGCCGGAACCAAGCCTCCCAATACCCGAACATGCATTCGCTATCGAAATGAGATAAAAAGCCAGATCCCCGTTGATCTTGGCTACTTCGACTGCGGCTGTATCAAGGTATGTCAAGGCGGTGAACATCCCAAAGAAGCCGAAGGTGGAGGAGAGATAATAGAGTGAAAAGTGGGGCGATTTGAATGCGGGGAAGTTGAAGAGGCCACCTTTTATGTTGACAGGGGGAAGACGACGTCTGATGAGGAGGTTTGCTGTGCTGGTTGTGAGGAGCATAAAGAAGCCTAGAACGCGCATCGTCCAGGGGAAGCTAAAGGGAAAACGCGTGGAAGGGAAAATACGTACGGAGCGAGCTTGAGACGAACGAGAGAGAGCGACGTACCCGATTTTTGGGATGAGGTTACGAGTTACGATGGGTAGGAGTGTCCCGCCTACGCTTGACCCGACGGCTACTAAACCGAATACGAATGGTCTCCTCCTATGGACTTGGAAGACCATTTAGCTCCAACTTGTTTTGTTGGGGAAAAAAAAAAAAAAAAGAGTTCGACGCACAGTAATTTGACGTCACTGCAAGCGTTGGTCCGAATAGGAAACCCGATGACGTCTGACCCAAAAAGGCAGAGAAGATACGTATGTAAATTTCCGCCCAGAAAGAAGCAGACGAAAGAGAGGGGATGAAAGGTTTTCGCTTACTCCCACAGAAATTCCTTGGCATAACATAAACTGCCAATATCTCTTACATTCCCCTACAAGGAACGTTGAGAGGACGAGAAGACATGTGGCTGGTATCATTGTTTCTCGGAAGTATCCAATGTCGAAGAGTCGGCCACTGATCGACCCCGGCATCAGGACGAGTGCATACTATGTGTGGGTGAACGGTGCATGGGGAGGAGGATAGGGAAGGTGAAAGGAAGAATGGGCGAGTTGTTGGTGACATCAGATTGGAACACAGAGGGAGGATTTTACGAACCTGGACTGAGCCTATCCATGCTCTGTACTTGTCAGGGAAAAAGCGCTTAAACCTTCTCACGAGACTTACATATTCGAATGGGACTGATTGGAGAGAATGGTTTGTGAATAATACTCTTGAAAGACCTAGGGGTATACTCGTTAGCATATTCGGGGGCGGGCGATGAAGATAATGAGGGTTAGGATGTCGAGAACAACTCACACCCTAATTTGAATTGAGCCCGAAGGATTTGAATGTCAGAGCGCCCTGACGTCGGGGCGTCATCGGTACGTACCCAGGCATTAACAAATCCAAATCTGACCATAGTACGATCAGAGGATAATTGCTCATAGAGGGAAACAACATACGTCGAACATGTTAAGAGGGCACACTGGCAAGGACGATCAGTTTGTGAGGGTGATTTATTTGAAAGGGAATGTTAGTCCTATCTGGAGTGAGCAGTTTTCAACGCTGCTAAACAACTCACCCCAATGACGACAAGCCAAGCTCTGAGTCCCCCTTCAGGATACTCACCGTCATCAGGAGCAGTGATTCGGGTATCACCGGCCCGTTCATCGATCTTGCCCTCTTCCACGTCAACGCCCTTGACATCGTCTTCATCCTCCACCTTGGATCCTCTCTTATTCTCACCAGTAAATTCAGACTTATCGGATGGTGTTTCAATACTTTTCCTAATATTGGAGACCGTGTTGGCGTTCGTCATAGTTGTAGCGGATGAAAGACGCTCGAGAGGAAAGGTGGGGGTTGCGATGGGAGTTGGGGTGGCAGCGGTAGAAGGGGTCGACTTGGATATCGATTTTTCGTCAGAAGCCATGCAGGTATGGGGAGTTGGATGAGCTGAAGGGAACGGATTGGAAGGATTGGCTATATATACGACAATCAGTGAATCTTACATCGATGAATGGACGAACAAGAAGATCGGGGTAGTATATTGGAGCACTTGAGTGCCGTGCGTGAAGGGCGAAGGAGAAGGGAACCTTATTCAACGCACGTCGAGTCAAGATTGTGGAAAAAGAGGGCGGGTTGCGGACATAACCAACCCCGACCCATGGATGAATAATAAAGACTTTAATGGAGAGTTTCCATCATACATGGGCGCCTTGTTTCTGTTTAGCCGCTCATGGTGTGTTGGTCAGCAGCTTGCCGTAAACGATTTACGCGATGGTGGCAGTTTTGGCCAATGAGCTGGCTTTGGATGCCGATGGTTGCGAGCAACGACGACGTGCCCGATCCCATCGATGTGTCACCTGAACAACCTGCAGGCGAGGCGAATGTGCGGTTGAATCGGACCTATGTGTAATGATAGATGATGGAAAAGCACCCGAGGATCCAAATCGGCGTCTAAACATATCGGTGACGTATGGGTAAACACAACCAATGCATTCGTGTGACTTCAGAGGTTCAATTGGTCATAAATGGGCCTCCCTTCAGTGCCGTTCTCATGCTAGAGACGTGCGAACTCTGGCCTTGCAAGTTGAAAAGAAAAAAAAAGGAGGTGATGACTCATTTGCTCCTGAAGATTCGCACACAAAATTATTCATTTTGTCTCACACATTTAAATCATCAGCCACACCCTCGGCGATGAAACGCCACAAAAGGCCAAACATACCAGCGTTAACACCATAATACCCCAAGGTCCATACCTCCCCGACAAAGCACCTGGAATATCAACATTCGTCAACGGCTGGTTGGGGAGTGGAGATTTTCAATCCCCTCCACATCATTACGCTTACACCCAATTAATTTCAGAGTCGCGTATCTTCAACGATACCATGCGCTCTTGATACTTTTGTCTTGATTGTCCTTCATCACCAGTTATCACAGATCGCTTTAAGCGATATTGGTGCCAGTCGTATAAGACACGCTGAGCGCTCACCTGTTCTCCATATCGAGACTGAGTCTCATCTACGCGTATAGACACTAATTCCATTAGAACCAAACCTCCCAATAGTCGAACATGCATTAGCTATTGAAATGAGATAAAAAGCCAGATCCCCGCTGATCTTGGCAATTTCTACTGCAGCTGTGTCAAGACGGTGATCACCCCAAGGAAGCCGGCTATGGAGGGCGATTTGAATGTAGGGAGATTGATGAGGCCGCCTTTGACGTTGACGGGGGGGGAAGACGACGTTTGGGGGGGAGGTTTGTTGTGCTGGTTGCAGATGAGAATGAAGCCTAGAACGCGCAATCGTCCAGAGAGGAAACGCGTCGAGAAGAAAAGCAAGGTAGGATGCAGATCATTCAAACGCGCGCAGTTTGAAACGAACGAGATGTACCCGATGTTGGGGATGAGGTTACGAGTCACGATAGGCATCAATTCGTTTTTCTGGGGAAGAAAAATGGATTCCACGCGCAATCATTCGATGTCACTGCAAGCGTCGGTCCGAATAAGAAGCCCGACGACATCTGGTCCAAAAAGACGGCGAGGATGAATAAATGAATTTCTGCAGTAAAGAAGCAGGGGTGAAAAGGAAGTGAAAGGTTTCGCATACCCCAGACAGTAAATCCTTGACAAACCATGAACTGCCAATATTTGTCACATTCTCCTACAAGGAATGTTGAGACGACGAGAAGACATGTGGCCGGTATCTGGATGAGTGAGTAGTACTGTGAGAGGGAAGGGAAAGGAAGGAGGGGTGTTGTTGGCGACATCAGATTTGAGCAGAGGAGATTGACAGACCTGTACTGAGCCTTTCCATGCTCGGTAAGGCAGAACTTGAGCGTGAGGTCGGGGCGGCTGTGTGTTCTCACGAAAGTTACATATGTATGTATTCGAATATAGGACTGATCGGAGAGAATAGTTCGTGAATAAGTAATGCTCTTGAATGACTATTTATTAGACGGGGAGCGGGTGATGAGACTAGAAAACTCACCCAAATCTGAATTGACCCCGAGAATCTGGTTAGTACATGTAGATCATTCACCTCTGATCAAGGTTAGGGAGTTACATACATAATGAATCCAAATCTGATCATATAACAGGTGTTCGCAATAATCGCCTACCGAGAACAATATCGAGAATGTTAGTCCTATCCAGTGTGGGCAGTTTCCAACGCTGTTAAACAACGACAACAAGCCAAGCTCTGTGGTTCGATATTTTACATCGCCTCTAGTATTGGGGATCGAATTGGTGTGCGTGGGTTGCGATGGGAGTTGGGGTGGTAGGGGCAGAAGGGATCAACTTGAAGGTCGAATTTTCGTTGAAAACCATGGCAGGGAACGTGTGCGAGTCAGGAACCCACGTCAAGTCACGATGTGGAAAAAGAGGGCGGGGGTTGCGGAGGTGACCATGATGATATTGGGGATTTTTCAGAACAGATGAGCGCGTTGTTTCTGTTGAGCCGCTCATGATGTGTTGGTCAGCAGCTTGCCCTAAGCCATTCGCGTGATACCGACGGTTTTAGCCAAGGAGCTCATTGTAAACTAGGCAGGACTCCAGCCTCTATGAGGTAAACGTGTGAACTGTGTCTTGTCGAAGTGTCATTGGTTGACCTGAACAACCTGCAGAAGAGTCAATTCAAATTACGAGCGGTCGAAGAATCGGACTTTCCATCATCCCTGCCTGGGTGTGGCGTCTGGGCTCATAGAGTAAACATTCCAATAGACCTAAGACTAGTGAAACCACCAATTCAGGTCACGCGTCAGGTACCACCCCTCACAGCCACAGACACCTCGAGGACGAAGGGTTAACGCCGAGGGCCGAAACAATAATATTGTCACCCGATTTGCAATATTGGACTTGGCAATCAGCTGGAGAACAGGGTACAGGTGACCAGCCCTGTTGGCGCTCTGTGGAGGGCGGCGGAGCGTCAACGCAAGCTGCCAGAGTTGTAGCGCTCAGCGACAGTAATTATGTGTGGATCTATACATAATTGGAAGTGCGGGGATGGACGGCCACATCCCCTCGGACATCACATGTATTATGTACTTGTTCGTCAAAAAGTGGAACAGCCTCTCCTTTCCGTCCTCTACGTTTCATCCGCCTCTCACTTTAGTAGCACATTGTCACTCCTTTAAGCAAAAACATGCACATCTCTCTACCACCTTCCCTTCTCTCCTTTCTTACATGTTTTCACGTCGTCGCCGCTATCACAAGTTATCCCAACTTGTTTGTGGATCCGAACTTCTTTCTCAACAAGGCTCTTTGGCCAAAGAACACTCAGCTTGCGGAGGATGCGATCATTCAGGGCGCCAAGGATTTGGCTGTACAAGGCCCTTGGGGTACGCCATGTCGTTTCCTCGTCGCGCTGCACCTTCAGGGGTGTAATAGGTTCTCTTGGCTGACGCGTATTCATCATCAGCTGTGACGAACAAGACAATCCTTCCCCCTAACAATGATACCCATACGTACTACAGTTGGCCTCCGTAAGCTTAACGCATCTCCCCTTTGGTGATACCCAGATTCTGATATGCATCAGATATGCCTGGCCGGATTGCTCCAAAGTAGGAAATAAGACAGTCCTCACTCCGGAGCAGATCTGGGTTACATGCCCTTACGGTAAGCATTCTGAACGCTATGATAGCATTTAATACTCACTCCTGTCCATACCACGCCCGACATAACCCAGTGACTCGCGATGGGGAGTTCAACCCTGATCAACACCTTGTCAACAACACGGGGGCATTCATGGCCCTCGCAGATACCATATTCTACAATGCTGTTTCGTGGAGCATCACAGGATCAGATAGTTATTCGAAACAAGTCATAACCCTTTTTTCAACCTGGTTCCTCAATCCCAATACGTACATGAAACCCAATTGTAAGTATCCCAATCATCTCCGTCCCTTCGAAACACCCATTGAAAACTCGGGAAATACTCGTTCTCCACCTGTATAGTGAACTACGCTCAAACTCTCCGCGGGCCTGGCGTTCAGATCGGCCAACATACGGGGGTGTTAGATTTGAAGTGCATGGCGAAAATCGCGAGTGGCGTCTTGATGCTCAAGTTGGGAAAGAACTCGGATTGGACGGTAGAGATCGATACTGGGATGAAGAATTGGTTGCACGAGTATATCGTGTGGATGACAACGAACACGCTTGCATTACAGGAGAGGGCCTCGACGAAGTGAGTTCCCTTGAATTAATCTGATTGAGACTTCGTTGTTCATTGCATTGGAATCAATTAGTAACCACGGGACGTTTTACTTTAATCAACTTACGGCACTTTATCTGCTGGCTAATGATTGGGCTGGTGCCAATGCTACACTTCAAGCGTATTATTCTGGAATCTATCAGAATCAAATCTTGGCGAGTGGGGAACAGGTGCGTGTTACTGTCTATTCCTGCAGATTAGTAGGACGGACACTTTTGATGCATGTGTTGCTTATATAGCCCTTTGAGGCTGAGCGGACACAGTCAGTGGAGACCCCATTCCTGTGTAGCCATGGGTTTCTAATTTGACTCGTGATGCTTCCATAGTCCGTATCATTATCGGGCATACAATCTCGCGGGCATGATCGTGCGTTTTCAAATACCCCTCTGTTATCCTCACCTTCATCCCTACTCATTCCATCTCCCCCACCTTTTTTTTGGCTCTGCATCATCCTTACTTCACTGACCGAGGTGTCCAGACGATGGCCAGACTAGCCGGGTACATCGGTTGGGACACTTGGTCCCTCCCAACAAAGAACAACGGAACAATTCAAAAAGCGACCGATTACGCCATGTCGTTCGACCCAGCTGCTTCGAACGAAAGTTATGCGTTGAACGAAATGTTTTACGTCGTTGGGGATGTGGCGAGTAAGTTTGGAGACCCAAGTGGGAAGTATAAAGCTTTTTTGGTAGTGTGAGTATTTGTTTACTCACTTCTCGGTGCCATATCCCCTGGCGGAGTCCTGAGCAGTTGGCTGATGATGGTGTGTTGGGTGTAGAGTGGACCCCTCGGAGCCGTTCTTCCTTTGGACTGAGAATACAAAGTGAGTGGCCGTATGGCAACTCATCATTCTCCATGGAAGGCTTTCTTCCACCAATGGTTGTTTTACGCTATGTGTATCATTGACATTCCGCTAGGTCTGGAGATCTTATCAGTTCGAACTCAACGCAAACGACCAGTTCATCGATGCCGACGTCAACGGGGAAAGGAGAGGCGGGTCGCTCGGTTGCCGATTTACTATCACCGTTCTTCTTTTGCGGGAGTATGATCCTTTCGGTGGTGGGGCCACTCGTCATTGTATTTGGGCTATAATGGGCTTTATTTTTGAAGGGTTTTTTTATGGTTCATGGGACCTCAACTATGTATCTGTTCTCAAATTCTGCTATTGTCCTTTTACTTGTTTGACCGTATGGACACCAGCGATGATGATGGTTGGTCAGTTCTGGCAGTTACTATATTCACAATTCTTAATTTACCCAACCCCCGTGCGCACAATTACTCAAACAGACCAGTGAAAGGCTGAGTTCGAAACTGTGCCTTGCTGGGGCATGAATGAAGCTCTGGGTTTTAGGCCCTGCACTGCACCCATATGTATTACATGATATGTAAAGAAATTAGCTTTAACCAATCATTACAGCAAGGTGCAAAAAGATCGACACATCAAATTTGGTTAGATGAGTTAGCTGGGTCATGCAGGAATCCAAAAATGGTAGCTAATTGGGGCAAAAATAGAGGCCAATATATGTAGAACCACCTTAGCACCTTTCAATAATATAACCATATCTGTTAACAGCTCAGCTGGGGTCCCAGGATTGAGTGCTTTGGCTGTTCCATGTGCATCTGTTAGAGATGAGGCACGGATTCAGATGACTCCGGAGTGGAATCGGAGACTTAGCGTGGAAGGACCTTGGCCTCAGCAACTCAAGCAGAGCGCTGTGCCATTGCTGTTTGTCCATTTGGTCCTTAATTTCACAGTAGGCAAGCAGGAAGTCTCTAGGGGGCATTCAGGTCGATTTCGGACTGAGCCCAAAATGAGTATGTACAAGTGCTGATATGTATAATGGAGGGGGCAAAAGCACAAGGGAACAAAGGGGATCCGAATCGGAATGAAGACATCCGAATGGGAACAAAGGGTAGACAGAAGTGGAGCGGTACCAAAGGTCATAAGGCAGAACCTGTGATATGTCTGAAAGGAGGTAGGGAGGGCGAGGCCCAGAGGGGCAGGAGGATGAGGAGAAGTGGGGATGATGACTAACTGGCTAGAATGGGAAGAAGCAGCAGTCCAAATAGGGATGAGGGGAAAACGTGAGAGATACATTACAAGTGGCGAAAGTGCTGAAGGTGATCCACGAAGCTTGGAGGTTGCGGAGCTTATGGAGGTGGGGTTGAAAGTCCGAGGAATATTGGCAATGGTGTTTACATAGTATGAGGTCACCAATGCAATGGACTAAGACCGAGGTGGAGTCAAAGTCTGAGGTAGGGACTATGACAGAGGCTCGGAGCAAGGTACAAGCAGTGCCTGAGCATGAAGTGTGGGACAGCGGTGGAAGGTCATAACTTGGCAGGAGGTCAGCAGAAGAGTACCAGAGGGGAGAGAGAGGAGAAAGGGAAGAGGGAAGGAGTGGCAGAAAGGAGAGTTGTCAGGTCCGAAGGTGAGTATCGGAGCGGACGGGGGAAGCGTAGGAGGATGACGGAAGGGTGGAGGTGTTGTGAGGGAGGAGCGGAGGAGTAGTAGGAGGGTGGCGAGAGGGGTGGTGTTTGGTCCAAGGTGAGTATCGGAGTGGATGGTGAAGGAGAGAATGAAGGAAGGTCAGTTGGGAGGTTCAAACGAGACCACCACCAAGCTGTTCCCTGGTTCTTTAGTTAGGATGGGGAAGTGTACTAGTGTTATTTATTGTAAATATAGTACCAATCCGAGTGTTTTGGCTAATTCTATTTTTATGGGTTAGTTTTAAAGTTCCTGAGAATTGACTTACAGATAAACTGAGCCCTGCGGAGCTGTTTTATTGAAATTTCTTAATTTGTCTAGGTGTAATTCTGTGTAGCGTTGTTTAATTTGGATTTAATCTTCTACTTGGTGAAGTTTCAAAGATTCTAATCAGTTAATGGATTTGGATTGTGTCTGGAGTGTCCCTTGAGTTTGTTTTATTTTTGTCTTATTTTATTGCTTGTTTTAACAGTAGCAAAATAACTGTTTTGTGTTTACACTTTGAAATCTGGAGTGTTAACCAGCTCTCCTGTTGAAATATCTACTTAATATTTCTCTCCTTTATTGCTGCCTTTTACTACAGTGGCAATCTTAACTGTATATCACTTTTTCGCACTGGAGTGACAACCAGAAATGCTTGGGAAAAATAATACTCTATTTTCTTACTTCTCTAAGGGGGGCGAAAAGTCGCAGAAAGGGTCTCCCTTTTATACTCCTTGGGTTGCCTTCCTTTTTCACGCTCTACCTTCTATTTACAGGATTTATTTACAGTGTATTTTTCTCAAACTGAATAAAAAATGAAATTTTCATGCTATAGTTCTACTGCGCTTGTGCTGCGCTGAACTGCGGTTCTACTGCGGTCAGACTGCGCCTAGAATTCTTATTGTCCTCCCTCGCCTAAGCTATTTTAATGGTTAATTGGAACTTGGCTGCGCTGTATTTGTCGCAGTTACCTATTTCAAATTCCCTATATATACCATTAAATTTGCTATGACTCGATGATTCTGAATTCAAACTTCGCATTACTATGCATATGGCTGTGCTGAGACCTTCAGCTGATTTATTCCAATTTTTATTTAGTGACATTTAGTTAAAATGAGACTGAAATGATAAATGAGTGAATTATTCAGGTTTAAAACTGAAAGAAAAAGTTGCTAGTAGTCAAGAATTACTCAAACAAATGTGTTATAGCTCTCCACTTCATTAGAACATCGTTCCCTAAAATTCCCGCCATGGTCCGTCGTAGTTTAGTGGTTTTCGTGAATTTCGTTCATATTCCCTGATTCCCCTTTGTATTATCACATCCTAATCCTCCATATGTATTGTTGGTTGTTATAGTAGGTTGTCCTTGAAGATATCATATTTTTATCTATTTTATTTAGGACTCTGGACCTCTTGAAGCTGTCTTCCCACGCATTTTCAGGTTTCTAACTTCATGTCCTTGTATCTCATTCATTTCTGCATGTTTTCTCACGTTCTTGGTATCATAAATTTTCATTTATTCCCACCTTTCCAATGGTACTAAGGTTGTGTCCTATTTCCTGGTATTCGTTGAGTTAGCAAAGATTTGCGCGCACATTCGGTAATCACATGCATCGTTCCCATAGTTGTTCATATGCGGGAGCCGTTTTCGTTTAATTGTTCGGGATTTATGATATGCGCGGGTGTTTATTTCTTTCATATGGGCTTCTGTGATTTATTTCAGATTTTTCCCTCATGATCTAAGGTTGTTTTGCACTTTCCGTGCTTTGTTTTGACCAGGCTCTTCCTTATTTGGACGGAAATTGGTCTTCGCGATCTGCTGAAGTGCGGATCTCAGTTCCGACGGCCGGTTCCCTGTGCATTGCCACCCTCACGTGTCATTATACATGATGCGGATTTCTATATTCCCGTCATGGGTATAACTTCACAACGGCTGGACCGTTTGGGCTGAAAATTTGCATAACTATAGTTCCCCATTTTTAATAATTTCTGTGTAAATTTCGTTGTATGTTTTAATTATGGATCCTACGCAAACATCGTCTTTTCCCTGAACTCGGACTTTTGATGTCGCTATTCCCGTTATTGGATATCTCATTAACGCATGATCCTTTTATTATGAAACTTTGGGAGGATTAAGATTAGATCCCTTCCTTTCTAATGGGCTATCAAGCTTGTCTCGGTCGTTACTAGTTAATCTTCGCGCTTGCCTTTTAGACATTGTCCTTGTTTTGCAGGAGTTTTAGTCATATCTCCGTCGTTTATGGGTAGTTTCCCCTGTAATTACTCTCATTGGTTCCGTTTGGGGGACATCTACATTTCCTATTATAAACACGACTTTGACTTTTGCATTAGTTCCTGAGGAATCTTTGTTCCGTGGTACTTCCATCCTTGGCTATGTGTGTGGATGTGGGAAAGTAGTTTCCATGGAGGTTCTCTGATTATTTTTATAGTCAAATCTTGGTCGATTGTCCTAATTCTTGGTTTAATATTTGCTATAAATTCCCCCGAGAATTCCGTCTCGTTGATGGTAAGCTTGAAGTATTTTTGCTATTTTTCTTTCTTTCGATTTATCGTGTATAGTCATAATAATTCGTAAAAATTCGTAAAATTCGTTAAAATTCATGTCCTTCTATTTTCTCATATCTACTTGTCGTATGAGGTTTTGTGATTTATCTGGCATATTTCCATAATGGGTTTCCATAGTGTGGCCGTTATTTCTCCTACAACAGAGATAGGGGAGGAGAGGGAAGGAGGAGTGGAGGTGGCATCGGAGGTAAGAGGAGGTGTGTTGCCAGGACCAAAGGTGAGTATCAGAATGGACAGTGGTAGGGTAGGACTCCAGAGGTGGAGAAGGAGGAGGTCCGGAAGTCAGGTCAGGATCGGGTATGCATGGATATGACAGCATCAACTGTTACAGATTCAGAGTCTCCAATGACCATATCCATCACCCTGCCGGGTATGGCTCCAAGTGGATTGGATCAGATTGGAGGGCATCAGCAAAATATTGTTATGCTCCTGAGTGCTCTGGAGTATGGACCACACTGGGAGAATCAGGAGGAGATTGGCTGGTCCAGGAACAGCTCATTTCCTCTGGAGTTGGCCAGGTACTCCCAGGAGGGCATGGAGCAATTGCTTTGTGCACAAACATATCCAGTAAATACCATTTAACTTCAAAGTGTATAGGGGTGAGAAGCTTCTGGGAGCTCCTGGAGCATTTGAAAATGAAAAGGAAAAGAGGGAAGATTCCCCATGAATGTCTCCTAACCACAAGACTAACACAACAAGACACTGCTTAACATTTAGATCAAACAATATCAAGGACACTGAGGCTCACTGCTATGCAATCAAAATTTATGGCCTGATATATGATTAATCTGGTGTCAGGGCATGGATGGTTATCCAGCCAGCCCTCACCCCTATCCAGATAGGTTGAGTACCCATAAGTTGATATCTGCATGTGATTTGCCATAGTTAGAATGCAGGTTGTATTCAATGCGCTATTTCTGCTATCATGTCACCCCTTACCTGTTATCACCCCCTTTTCTGCATGATCTATCTTCCCTTTTCATGTCATCTTTCTATTGGCTTCCATGTTATCTCCATTGTAGCTGCACTCTTGTGATTGTGGTAATCATGTATATAAGGCCTTATCGCCAGCTGGGTTGGCTCCCCAGCTTTAACAACGACTAGTTTCCCAGGGAGACCTTCATGCATGAACTGACACATGGACTCTGACAGAGATGTCAGGGTATACACCCTGACCTAGCCCATTCCTGCATCCACACCTGCACTTGCACCCACACCCAGCTGTTGCACTTCCCATGCATGCCCTGTGCCAGACGCTCCATGAAGCCAGATGCCCCAGGCCCTGGGTCTCAGGTCTCATGTGACTTCTGGATATCTCCAGAAGTTTTCAATCTATTGTGGCCACTGTGAGAAGATGAGAAGTTAACTTCCTTCTCATCTCTGACCCACAGTAGGCAAGTTGTATACTGTACCCACATGACCAACTACCGGCTGGGTCCTGAGTGTGACACAAATTTTTCAACCAGCGACTCAGTTTGACGCATGACACCCAACCGGCCAGCCAGGCCCTAAAAGGGAGGCAGTGCTAATTTCAGGAAAATTAGTCACGTTTGGCAATGAGTAAGAATTTGAAAAAAAAAATTTCGGTTGGAGCGCTGTAGGCAGGATAATCGCCCACACACAGAGCCGGCTCGGATACCCGCTTCCAACATTCAGAAACCACTTCCATTCACGTGACAACTCGATACGAATTTGGTATCCAAAAATAGTCCTAATTCGTACGATTCTGACGATACCAAGAACGTCCCAATCGGTGGAGGTTTGATGGAGTTCTATGTTGGGCATGTTAGGCATGGCAGGTCACGAGTATGTGCGGGTGTGGGAATCTCAAGCGGCAACCCAGAATTCCTGCCTCACTCGTTCCCACGGCGTCTAATAAATTGGTAAAAATGCTCATTGACTGCGTGAGAGTTATCTCCGGCTTCATTTCCAATTTTGGCCCTTAGTTCCATAAATCCGTTGAGAAATCGCTTATTTTCTTTTATTTTCATATTTTGCCATCATTTCAGATATTGATTGATATTCTTTTATTGATACTGTTACCCTTTTTATTACTTCGCCTAATAAGGTATGCAGGTGCCATATGGTACCAATATTTCTCATCAATTATTCTAAAAATAATTGTTCCTTATATCCTGTACATACCGGATTCTGGAATGGAAGTTCTCCCCTCCCCCATTTTCTCTAAGGTGCTAGGACGCGCTAGAGAGGGTGTGAGTGAGTGGAATTCCAACAGTAGGAATAAGGGCAGTGATCTAGCTCACAACGAGTGAGTAGTGGACACTGAGCCCGGACCTTGTGGAAATCCCGGAGAACCCACACAGAGTTTAAGGATCGAGAGAATAGCGAGTTTAGTCAAGAAAGTAGGATTTTGGAGAGTTAGGCCCCACGAGCTTGGTCGGCATAGAGAGCCGCGAGCCCTCTTTCAGCGCCCCCTTGTAAAAACTCTCTTGCACCAGTTATCACATCTGGATGGTTTCACGCTTGCACAACAAAGTTCTTCTTGTGTGGATGAACCTATTTCATATAGTAACATCCCTACTATGCTCATTGGACCCTACTTTCCCAAGGAAACCCTTTCTGTTGCTGAGCTCCTCCAGTTCAAGGTTCCATCCCTCCAAACATATCTACACTCATGTGCATGTCTCAGCTATCACCCACCCTCCATCAGAGATATAATCGAGAGTGATCTCCACAACACACACTGGCCTTCCTACCCCGCAATTAATAATCTAATTTCTGAATATGAGTCCAACTTTGACAACCCACCTTGTTTGGTTAAATTCGGCACACGTTACATCCCTATCAAAATCCTCCAAATTTGGGAAACCCTCTTTCGTGTTCAGAACCTGCAGAAGGTGTGGAAGGAATCAGAGGTGCAAGTCAGGAAGCTGGCAAACCGTTACCCTGCTCAGCGTGTTGCTATCGTGGCAGCTCAGAAACAGCTCCTATCATCCAAGTGGAACACCAAAATCCTTGGATTTTCAAAATCAACTTCTGGCTGTATTGGAGGGCTGACGCGTTACCTCTCTTTCTCCTGCCTTGTCACTACAGATATTTCGTACCATATTGAACTTCTGAAACATGCCCTAGAGGTTGCAGATATAAGCGCTAGGCTTTTGAGCCCTCTGGACATTCAGTACTTGACTGGGTGTGCAATGCAATCAGACAGGAATGGGCCAGAAAGATATTGACGAAGTCTCACCTGCAAAATGCTCCACCAGTTTGGTGCTGAGCTCGCATCTGGATCTGTACATCAATTTGGAGGGATTATCCATGTCAATAATCACTGGATCGCATTCTCCATTTCCCCCCTAGAATCAACCATTTACCTCGGTGATTCCTTTCACAAGCCAATGGGAGATGATGGGCAATCGGTTGCAGTGAAGGAAGTAATCAGGGTTCTTCGATGGTGGCTTGACATATCCAGTCCAGAGCCAAGCCAGTCTGCGTCTCTGTTTCAGATTCGATGGCTACCAATTGTGTACCAAAATGATTTTGTATCATGCAGCTTCTTCGCTCTTGATGCACTCATGCATCACCTTATCCCAAACAAGTATCCACTTCACACCGGTGAAGATGCAGCAATACTGCGTGTCAAATTTCTGACATCCATCCTTGACCGTCACAGTGCACAGGTAAGTAACTGAGTGAACCAACAGGATGGATGAAATATAACTTCCCTGTGATAAGGCAGTACCGACACAAACAGTGACAATGGCCACTACACTTGTGGCAACACCGGTAACAGCATCAGTCCAAGTTGTGATGATGCCGGAATCACTGGTGCTGCCTGCAATCCTCATGACCACCCCAGCCACAGTGGACAACCTGGTTGGTTCAAATACCCAAGAGCTGGAGGGAAGAAAATCAAAGGTAGACCTCACCATCCAGGAGGGGAATGACAAGCATGGGCTGCTCCAATTCTTCAGCTGTGTGAGTCATGAAGAATTTGAGCAACAAACGATGATCGAATTTGAAAGACTCACTGAGAGACGCAAAGGAGTGCAGATGGCAGCAGACCTAGCAGCAAGGAGAAAGGTGGAGAGAAGTCGAGCATTGGCTCGGGAACGTCAGCAGCGTTGCCGAATGAAGTTGGTAGAGGGCAAGGAAGAATTGAAGGAAGAGGTAAACCAAGTGGTCTTGTTGAGAATGTGCTAGTTTCTAATGGAAAGGATTGCTTAGGGCTTGGTTGATATGGGGTCCAATGCAAGTGCCACAGGCATGTTGGTTCCTATCGCAGAGTTGTCGTGGCCAAAGCGTCAGATTCAGGATTCAATGAAGGAACGAAAGCGCCAAAAGACTATTCACCATTTGGACAATGTTGTCCAGCCTCCTAGGCGAAAAGTGCACAAGTTTGCCTGGGCAACAAACTGGTTCCAGCCCATCTTCTGGACAGTGATAACAGAAGTGGCCACAACTGTTGGCCGGAAAATGAGTCCTACCAAAATAGTGAAACGGTGTCAAAGGAGAAGCTGGAGACTATTCCACTCACTCCGTGCCGACGTTGTTTGTAAATGGATCGATTGTTCAGGGTCGCGTCCATGTTGGTCCAATGAAACACTTGCGAAGGTTGAAAAGGAGAATTGCCCAGGAAGCGGCATTACACAGAGGGGGATACTGGTGAGTTGGGAACTAGCTAGTCGAGTTTTGAAGACTTATAAGATGAAAAAACATAGGCATCGTATCCTGAAATTGCGGAAGTGATCAAACAGATGTTGTTAAGTGTTCGACAGGCTGGTGCTGCACTGGATGCTCACCAAGTCCGTGGTATCATCCTCACGCAAATTCAACATGCCCAGCCCAGTATCTTGAGGACTGTTGTGAGGACAGATGGAAGCACGTTTTCTGCAAGCATGGGATGGGTTCGGAAATTTCTCAAACAGGAAATGAATTGGAGCCTGCGCCGAGCAACGCGTGCTTCCCAAAAAACCCCCCCTGATGTGGATGAAAAAATCCGTTCCTCATTGCTTTGCCAGGCCTACTCTATCTATCAATATGTGATTCCTGACTGTTTTCAGGTGAACTCAGATCAGACACAAGTGATTTACCAGCAAAACTCAGCCGCTACATATGAAAAGAAGGGATCGTGCCAGGTCTCCACTGTTGGCCTGATGAGAAGCGTGCATTCACTCTCAATGTGGCTGTCTCTGCAAGTGGAATCCTTTTACCCTTCCAGGCCATCTTCTGAGGCAAAACCCCAGCAAGTCTCCCTTCACCGAATGTCTCAAGTTATCCTGAAGCAATGCATCTCGGCTTTGTTTTCGAGATCTCTGGCAATGACACATACTGGGCTAATATTGTGACAATGAAGTCATCTGTAACTCGCATCTTAGTTCCTTATTTCAATACTGAAAAGCAGCGGCTCTCCCTTGACCCGCTTCAGGAGTGCATTTGGCAGCTCGATGTGTGGCTGGTCCACACATCACTTGAGTTTCGAGTCTGGATGTATGAAAATTATCCCTGGATTATACTTGACTATGTTCCTGGTGGATGTACAGGCAGCCCTGCGATGTCGGAATCCAGCGTCCACTGAAACATGCTGTGAAGCAGGCTCAGCAGACTGCCGCTGTGAAGGAGGTTTATTCACAGCTACAAAGCGGTATTGACTCATGTTGCATAACTCTCAATACCAAGCTAGGTGTACTAAGGGACCATGTCCCTGAAACATTAGTACATGCTTTCCAACATATGAATCGACGTGACAGAATTCAGAAAGTGAGTCACTCCAAACACAAATCCTCATTTCCATGCATGAATACTAAGTATTCACTGAGACCATAGAAGATGATGTTGATGTAAGGATGGAAGAAGTCTTTGAGCACATGGATAGGTGCACGGCCCCAGATGGGCTTGAAGTGGTTAATGGTGGCCTGCAAGTTGCGTCAACTTGCGCTGAGGAGGCTGAGCCTGACACCCTCAATGAGGTTTCCTTGGCTCCCTCCGACCTTGGCCATGGAATGCAAGCTAGAAAAACATGCAATTTGGATGAGGAGATGGCTGTTTTTCGGTTTTGAACATACCAATTACCCAAAAAAGGAAATTTGAAATTGCCTTTGCATAGCCACAAGCGAATGAGCAGTTTTGCATGACATGGGACAATTTGACCGCTTGCCTCGCGTGATGCATGACAGAGTCTTCAAATGAGCCTGACCAGCGAGCCCGTGTGACGCATGACCGGTAGTTGGTCATGTGGGTACAGTATACTTGTCAGGGCAATAGCCCTGAACCCTGAGCCATATGTAATTACAATGTACATATAGTCATGTGGGTAAGCGGAAACTTCCAGTTAACTGCTTTGAAGGGTTTCTTACTTGGTTTGGGGATGGTACATTCCATTCCCCTGTTCACCTCAGGCCTCAGTTAGTCCATCTAGTTATATGCTCTTAGTTGCTGTATATTGACAGGGTAGAAGTAAAGGCTGATCCACCTTTTACAGCTACCCCAAGGGTTTATATACATTCTAATGCATTCTCAGCACAAATAAATAGAGAAGCTTCTGCAATGCTAAATTAGCATTGTGACATAATTATTGGACAACATTGATGTTGTGGGTGGAATATAGACATGGGCCGGGGCCTCACATCCTCCTCCCTTGCGATATTAAATCACAGACAGGGTACAAGCATATACAAGGGGAAAACAAGCATTTTAAGGAAATTAAAATTTGACGTTCTACATACGAAGGATGTACAGTATGCAAACGGGGGCACACTCATTGCAGGAGGCTATAATAGTAGTTTGTAGGTGAAGCCCACTTAGAGTTTCTCCTGGAACATATGCACCCAGATCTTGATGACAGAGTTGTCGATGATGAAACGACTTTCTCGTTGCTGTGAGTTTATTACATACCATCATCGATAGTGACGATGTTGACAGTGGAGGTTGTTGATGAAGAGGAAAGTGAATAATCAATGGTGATGTTGTCATTGACGAAGGAGGAAAGGCACAAAGTAGATAATCAATGACAGCATTGTCATTGACGAAGGTAAGAAGATATTAATCAATGACAGCCTTGTCGTTGATGAAGGTGAGCAACCAATGATGGCATTGTTGTTGATGAGGGTAGGGATATGAGGGGATCAGTTCCTCATCCATTTACGTGGCACAGACCCGGACAGGCTGTCATATCCATACAATCCCGACCTCTGCGCCGGGCTCCCGGAACTCCGAACTCCGACTTCCGGAGCCCTACTTCCCTTCCGTCACCTTCTCCTTGCCGACTCCCAAGAGGTTATCCCACCTCCGGCTCGGACACCACCTTCGGTCCGACTCCGGAACATTCCGGGTCCGGCCCCAACCTCGACACCTTCCAGATGAGTATGCAAAACCTATGCTCCTGACTGTCAGGGTTCAGCACCCTGCCTTAGGGTGCCCCGGACTCCCCACCTACTTTACCCCCTTTTATTCTTTGACTGTTGCCTTGTTGTTGCCTTTGTGTGTTGTGTACACGCGCGCACGGGATAGCGTGGGAACTTTCTGAGCGAGCAGCTCGCCCAGAATGTTCCCACGGGTCACAGCCACAGTTCTGGGCGAGCAACTCGCCCAGAACGTTCCCACGCTTACTGGGCACTGCCACCTGGATGTTCCCTCCGGGTCACACTACACAACTCTAGGAGCTGTATAGTTGTGGGCATGTGACCCATTCCTTTATATAGCAACCATGCGGGGAGACGAGACCTTTACCCTTCTTCTCATCTCATGCCCCGCATAGGCAAGTGTATATATTCCCTTTCTTTTACTATACATCTCATGCCCCGCATAGTGTGAGGACAGGCCAGATGGGGGTTGAGGTCAGGGAGCCTCCGAGTCCGAGGCCGGGCCCTGACACTGACTCCGGACCTCTGCTCCGGAATCCCGTTCACGTCTCCGTCTCCGGAACCTCCGGTCTTAGCTCCGACCTCGGACTTTGACCCCACCTCCGCTTATACCCATTGTATTGGTTAGCTCATTCCATTTAATTGCCTTTGCCAATATTCCGGAGTTTAACTTCCGAGTTCGGACTTTCCGGACTTATGTTGGACCTTGCAACTATTGCATTGCTCCATTCAGTTCCACTATTCTCCCTCATTCCTATTTGGGCTGCTGCTTCCTTCCTATTCAGTCAGCTAGCCATTCCCCACTCCCAACCTCCTTCCTTCCTCCTTGGGCCTTGGCCCTTCATTCCTCCTTTGAGAAACACCATTGAGTCAAACCCTTGACCCTCGGTGTTGTTCCTCTTTCCATCTCCCTTTGTCTCCTTTCGTCCTACCCTCGCTCCTTTTGATTCCGGACCCCTCCTTATATACAATGTACATAGTAACTTGTAACCTCAGTCTGAAATCGACATGAATTCCCCCCAAGAGACTTTCCCTCTGCTAGATCTGAAATTAGGGACCCCTAGGACAACCAGCAATGGCACAGCGCTCCACCTGAGTCGCTGAGGCCGAGGTCCTTCCATGCTAAGTCTCCGATTCCACTCCAGAGTCGTCCGAATCCGCACGTTCTAACACAGGCCAGAGACGGATGGGCGATTTGATGTGGTCCTATGAGTTGTCATGGACCTTGCTGCATCGACAGTGACATTGGAGCTGAGATAGTTGTTGTCATAGTGACGAATCTCGACGTCAGCGTTGTTCATGGATGAATCCTTGTCTTGACAACAGTGCGAGTAATGGACATGGTGCATGGGATGGCCATGCCCATGGGAAGTGGAGGGAGCATGCCCACGCACTGGTCGTGCATGGGTGGATTTGTACACTGACAAATGTGCATACATTGGAGGGGGGTACTGTGGTGGAGGGTTCGAATACGCCACAGGGTGAGGGTTTGCATACATCACAGGTGGGTTTGAGTATGACGTTGGGGGAGGGTTTGAGTACATAAGTGCTCATTCTTGATGCTGAATCTTACAACGCTCACGAGCATCATTGGTCATTGGTTTTATCCATCTACATGCGAGGATGTACATCCGTGCAACACGAGCTGGGGGGTACTGGTCAGGAAGTCTTTT